TTCCGGAAAAACGGTTGCAGTTATCAAAGAAACGATGCCGGAAGTGAGTTCTAGAGCTCGAAATCTACAAGAAAATGTGTTTAGTTAAGTTTCGAAAATGTCAAAATTTGACCATTGGAAAATTTTCACTTTTAAAAAAGTTGTCAAAAAATTGTGAAAAAATTCAGGGACGTAGATCTCGACATGCTGATTACAAAAATATAGTATGTTGATGGTCACGGAGCAACATTTTCGAAAGAATCGGTACTAAATGCGAATTTTTGAAGATTTCTACAATTTTCGATATTTCAACGGTCGATTCCGGAAAAACGGTTGCAGTTATCAAAGAAACGATGCCGGAAGTGAGTTCTAGAGCTCGAAATCTACAAGAAAATGTGTTTAGTCTTAACTAACAAACTTATTTCGAAAATGTCAAAATTTGGCCGAAATTTGAAGAAGGGGGGACAATCGGAAAATTTTCACTTTTAAAAAAGTTGTCTAAAAATTGTGAAAAAATTCAGGGACGTAGATCTCGACATGCTGATTACAAAAATACACAATGTTTATGGTCACGGAGTAACATTTTCGAAATAATCGGTAGGAAAGGCGAATTTTTGAAGATTTCTAAAATTTTCGATTTTCAACGGTCGATTCCGGAAAAACGGTTGCAGTTATCAAAGAAACGATGCCGGAAGTGAGGTCTAGAGCTCTAAATCTGCAAGAAAATGTGTTTAGTTAAGTTTTGAAAATGTCAAAATTTGGCCGAAATTTGAAGAAGGGGGGACCATTGGAAAATTTTCACTTTTAAAAAAGTTGTCTAAAAATTGTGAAAAAATTCAGGGACGTAGATCTCGACATGCTGATTCTAAAAATATACAATGTTGATGGTCACGGAGTAACATTTTCGAAATAATCGGTAGGAAAGACGAATTTTTGAAGATTTCTAAAATTTTCGATATTTCAACGGTCGATTCCGGAACAACGGTTGCAGTTATCAAAGAAATGATGCCGGAAGTGAGTTCTACAGCTCGAAATCTACAAGAAAATGTGTTTAATTGAGTTTTGAAAATGTCAAAATTTGTCCGAAATTTGAAGAAGGGGGGACCATTGGAAAATTTTCACTTTTAAAAAAGTTGTCTAAAAATTGTGAAAAAATTCAGGGACGTAGATCTCGACATGCTGATTACAAAAATATACAATGTTGATGGTCACGGAGTAACATTTTCGAAATAATCGGTACGAAATGCGAATTTTTGAAGATTTCTACAATTTTCGGTAATTCAACGGTCGATTCCGGAAAAACGGTTGCACTTATAAAAGAAACGATACCGGAAATGAGTTCTACAGCTCGAAATCTACAAGAAAATGTGTTTGGTTAAGTTTCGAAAATGTCAAAATTTGGCCGAGCTTTGAGGAAGGGGGGACCATTGGAAAATTTTCACTTTCAAAAAGTTGTCTAAAAATTATGAAAAAATTCAGAGACATAGATCTCGACATGCTGATTCCAAAAATATACAATGTTGATGGTCACGGAGTAACATTTTCGAAATAATCGATGGGAAAGGCGAATTTTTGAAGATTTCTAAAATTTTCGATATTTCAACGATCGATTCCGGAACAACGGTTGCAGTTATCAAAGAAACGATGCCGGAAGTGAGTTCTAGAGCTCGAAATATACAAGAAAATGTGTTTAGTTAAGTTTCGAAAATGTCAAAATTTGTCCGAAATTTGAAGAAGGGGGGACCATTGGAAAATTTTCACTTTTAAAAAAGTTGTCTAAAAATTGTGAAAAAATCCAGGGACGTAGATCTCGACATGCTGATTCCAAAAATATACAATGTTGATGGTCACGGAGTAACATTTTCGAAATAATCGATAGGAAAGGCGAATTTTTGAAGATTTCTAAAATTTTCGATATTTCAACGGTCGATTCCGGAAAAACGGTTGCAGTTATCAAAGAAACGATGCCGGAAGTGAGTTCTAGAGCTCGAAATCTACAAGAAAATGTGTTTAGTTAAGTTTCGAAAATGTCAAAATTTGACCATTGGAAAATTTTCACTTTTAAAAAAGTTGTCAAAAAATTGTGAAAAAATTCAGGGACGTAGATCTCGACATGCTGATTACAAAAATATAGTATGTTGATGGTCACGGAGCAACATTTTCGAAAGAATCGGTACTAAATGCGAATTTTTGAAGATTTCTACAATTTTCGATATTTCAACGGTCGATTCCGGAAAAACGGTTGCAGTTATCAAAGAAACGATGCCGGAAGTGAGTTCTAGAGCTCGAAATCTACAAGAAAATGTGTTTAGTCTTAACTAACAAACTTATTTCGAAAATGTCAAAATTTGGCCGAAATTTGAAGAAGGGGGGACAATCGGAAAATTTTCACTTTTAAAAAAGTTGTCTAAAAATTGTGAAAAAATTCAGGGACGTAGATCTCGACATGCTGATTACAAAAATACACAATGTTTATGGTCACGGAGTAACATTTTCGAAATAATCGGTAGGAAAGGCGAATTTTTGAAGATTTCTAAAATTTTCGATTTTCAACGGTCGATTCCGGAAAAACGGTTGCAGTTATCAAAGAAACGATGCCGGAAGTGAGGTCTAGAGCTCTAAATCTGCAAGAAAATGTGTTTAGTTAAGTTTTGAAAATGTCAAAATTTGGCCGAAATTTGAAGAAGGGGGGACCATTGGAAAATTTTCACTTTTAAAAAAGTTGTCTAAAAATTGTGAAAAAATTCAGGGACGTAGATCTCGACATGCTGATTCTAAAAATATACAATGTTGATGGTCACGGAGTAACATTTTCGAAATAATCGGTAGGAAAGACGAATTTTTGAAGATTTCTAAAATTTTCGATATTTCAACGGTCGATTCCGGAACAACGGTTGCAGTTATCAAAGAAATGATGCCGGAAGTGAGTTCTACAGCTCGAAATCTACAAGAAAATGTGTTTAATTGAGTTTTGAAAATGTCAAAATTTGTCCGAAATTTGAAGAAGGGGGGACCATTGGAAAATTTTCACTTTTAAAAAAGTTGTCTAAAAATTGTGAAAAAATTCAGGGACGTAGATCTCGACATGCTAATTACAAAAATATGGTGTGTTGATGGTCACGGAGCAACATTTTCGAAAGAATTGGTACGAAATGCGAATTTTTGAAGATTTCTCTAAAATTTTCGATATTTCAACGATCGATTCCAGAACGACGGTTGCAGTTATCAAAGAAATGATGCCGGAAGTGAGTTCTAGAGCTCGAAATCTACAAGAAAATGTGTTTAGTTAAGTTTCGAAAATGTCAAAATTTGGCCGAAATTAGAAGAAGGGGGGACCATTGGAAAATTTTCACTTTTAAAAAAGTAGTCTAAAAATTGTGAAACAATTCAGGGACGTAGATCTCGACATGCTGATTCTAAAAATATAGCGCGTTGATGGTCACGGAGCAACGTTTTCGAAAAAATCGGTACGAAATGCGAATTTTTGAAGATTTCTAAAATTTTCGATATTTCAACGGTCGATTCTGGAAAAACGGTTGCAATTGTCAAAGAAACGACGCCGGAAGTGAGTTCTAGAGCTCCAATCTACAAGAAAATGTATTTTGTTAAATTTGGAAAAAAATTGTATGCTTAGATCACACGACAAAACTAGTAATATTCAAATTTGCACCAGTTTAAATTGAGCGCCGATGTGCTTTATTGTGATTGGTCGGCACGGGTACTGAAATTATTATTAAACCAGTCATTGAGTAAATCCATAGAACCTAAACGGCACAATATTCTCTGGGTACATCAGGTTGTAGGGATGGGCAGATTCGGTCATCACTACGAACGGATCGTTCATCGTTCGGTCCCTACGAAGACCCGGTCGTCAAATGTCGTTCATTTCGTTCATTTCGTTCATTTCGTTCATTTCGTTCAATTCGGTCATTTCGGTCATTTCGTTCACCGTTCACTTCGTTCTTAATCATTCAAGGCTCAGGGATCTATAGATGAATCATTCGGTCTTTCGGGTCTTCGGTCAATGGTCTTAGTTTCCCTTTTGCTTGAATCCGATCACTTCATAGGGAAGGTCATGCTCAGAACTATCGCATAGGTATTCGAAAAAAAAAACCCGGCCCATTGCTGTCTTTCTTTTTTTTCGAATACTGCATTGTGTGATACGTCAAATTAAATCGGTTGAAATATACTATGATCTTATTCGAAAAATTAATGATTTAATGTTTATTTGGTTTTCTCTACATTTAATTTTTTTTAATATCTCCCATTTTTTAGAGATTCATGTAACGATTTTTTTCTGAATTCTGTGATGTATAAATAATAATTTAATATTTAAAAAAAGTAACTTGAATTTGTGGACGCAAATAAAAAAAATAAAAATAAGAAATACATCAATAGCAGTTTTGACACAAAAATTAAATTCGTTTTTATCACAGCTTCCGAGCAGCTTTTGAGTAAAATATGGCATATGCTAAATCAAAGAATTCAAAAAAAAACTAGAAGAATCTCTAAACAATGTATACGGTGTATTAAAAAAAAAGTTGAATGTCATAGGCAAAAACAAATGAACGTTAAGTATTGGTAATTAATCAGGAACGTAGCATATTTAAAACGATTTAATCTGACGTCACACAATCCTGTATTCTAAAAAAATAACACGGCTACGGACATGGGCCTTTTTTTTCGAATGCGGTATAGAGAAAAATTAAACAAAATCGTATTTGGAATATGTGCATTGTATTAAAAAAGAAAATCTATATTAAACCTACAAAACAACAACAATAATTACCTATAAAATAAATTTAACTTAACTAATATAAAAACATAAAAGATAATAAACTATAACTAAAACCTACATGAACAAATGGAAAAAGTAAAAAACTACAATTACCTATAAAATAAATAACTTAATTAATTAAAAAATACAAACATTAAAATATATACAATCTAAAAACTATAAAAACCTATAAAATAAATAACTTCATTAACTAAAAAAACACAAACATTAAAATACAGCCTTAAAACTTTTATTCTAAATTTTTCTGTAGAAAAATTAGTTCTGATAATTTTGACGACTTCAGCCGGGTCCTTTTTTCGTTGAATAAATGGCCCGCCGTCGAAAACACACGTTCACACGGGACTGAAGTCGCCATTATACATAGCCTTCGGGTCATCAGCTCATATAAATGTGGGTAAATCGCCCGTCGTTCGGTCCACCAAGTTAACGGGTTCAAATGGCGGGGAAGAAGTGGTTCCGCTAAGTATTTGTCCACCTCAATAATGCTGACCACCGTGGGGTTGGTATCGCCCGTTAACTATGAAAATAATATTTTTTTATTAAAATATATATATATAGGTTGCAGGTGGTTCGAATATTAAACAGATTATATGAAAAAAAAACTATATATATACCTTTTTATTTTCCTCTTCAAATTCAAACCACAACGACGAGGAAGCGGTCGAAGTCGACGGAGTCGATTGTGCAGCAGATTCATTAGATTCAGCAACCCCTGAAGTCGATGAGATGGCAGTCATCGATCTCACTTTTTCTTTTAAAGCCTTACAGGCATCTTTACGTCTATCGTCATTACCAAAACCCTGCTGTTTGAATCTAGGATCCAGCAGTACTGCTTGATTAATGACGGGATGTTTTTCAATGTCCCCGAATCTTGTGCCCAGTTCACACAACAGACATTCTTTCATCTTGGCTACATCCGGAGACGGGATATTTATCATTTTATTTAATTTTAAAGCAATGATTCGCACTAATATCGGAATTTTTGATATTGTGACAGATTTTTCATCACTAATATCTTTGGTTACATTTAAAAAGATTTCTAAAACAGCGACTGAATACTTTATAGTTATCCAGTCGCTGTTTGAGAACCTAAATTTGTCCGAGTCTAAACCCAAAACGGCTAAGGTGGACACTAAACAGTCTTTATTTTGTAAAAATCTGTTCAGCATATCAAAAGTTGAGTTCCACCTTGTCACCACGTCTTGTTTTAATTTTAATTGCGGCAGACTCATTTGTTTTTGAGTTTCTACTAACTTAGCTGTTGCATAGGCACTTTGTTTGAAGTGTTGCACAACAGCTTTTACTTTAGAAACTATATGCTCAATGTGCATCAAACCTTTTTGAACAATTAAATTAAAGGAATGTGCAAAGCAACCAATGTGCCGCCAGTTGCACAGACGAACGGCAGCAACCATATTTGCTGCATTGTCTGTGACAATTGCGGAGATTTTGTTTGATATACCCCAATCTTTAGCCGTATCAAGTAACCAAGTTGAGATATTGTCTGCCGTGTGCTTCTCGGAAAATTCGGTACATGTCAAAACGGACGAGTTAATTATTAACAAATCTGCATTTTGCAGCAGATAGTGTGCTGTTAGAGCTAAATACGAAGTGTTATTTAACGACGTCCACCCGTCAGTAGTCAAACAAACTGCTGAAGCTAGATTCAATTTTTGTTGGACCCGAGTTTTAATTTGGAGAAATAAACTCGGGACCAAACTGTTAGAAACCGTCTTTCTAGAAGGCAGCTGATAAGAAGGATTTAACATGGCCACGAATTTTTTAAATTCTGGTTCCTCAACGATCTTAAATGGATGAAATCCCTTGCTAATCATTCTTACCAGCTGCTCATCTAAAAGACGGCTCTTTCTTAGCGGTAACGGCTTCACTACTTCAATAAAATTTGTAATTGAAGCCTGTCCCTGAACTTTACCACCAGATGATGAGGGCACTGATAATGACGAAAGACATAAAAAGTTCGTTGGCGGATTTAAAAGAGAAGCAGACGAAGATGAGCTGCCGGTCGCCTCCTGAGGGTTCTTCAATCTTAAATCAGGGCCAGAATCGGAAGCTGCAGCTGAAGTGGTGGACGAAGGGGCTCTAGCAACGGGCACTGTTGGGTGTTTGGTCTTTAAATGCCGTGAAAGGTTTCCAGAACTCCCTCCGACAATACTAACACGGCTCGCGCAATAATGGCACTTCGCCTTTTTTGACGTGGCGTCAACATCAAAATGGTACCATAATTGACTTCTTTTTCTGTCCATACCTAAAAACAAAATAAATTTACCACTCAGTTTTTCAAATTATTCTTAAATTTATTTCGTAAAATTTACAAAAATATAAAAAATGTTACTTACTTGAAAAATAGAAGCACAAATGAACTGTTAAACTTAACACCACACAGAAAAAGTACCTAACACAAAAACTTATCGCACAAAAAAACTAAAGATAATTCTGAAATGGTTGTCGCAAAAGCAAAAACAGAAATGAAGCATTAGTTTGAATTTTCAAATTACTATGCATTTCTGAGTTTTTAAAGTGGGGGAGGAATTCCCACAAATTTGGATCAATGGGCGCATGGTTTTGTTCAAACTTCAAATACTTCCGTCTTAGCCCAAATTAGTTTATTACTTTCCGGTGCTAGATGAAACATCTGCAATATTCTCCAATTTATGCAGGAATGAGTTTTACCCGACCGTCTATAAATCTCTAGCAATTTTCTAAAATTTGAATAGTTTTCATTTTAGGGAACAAATGAACTTGCAATAAAATAATCCCTAGGTTCTTTGTAGGTGTTCCTAATTTGGAAACCGTAAAAGATTTCCTCTTCTCACAGTCACACCGACCGGGAACGGATTATTACCTGCTTTATGACCAATATTCAAAATGCGAAGTTGGTGAGACTTGAGACATTTCAGGTAGTTTTTTCTAATAATTCCCACAATTTTTTTATTTATTTTATGCTTCAAAACATTTTGTAGTGAAATTTATTAAGTCGACAGAAACTTATCGCCCGAAATATCCATTTAAGAAACCAATAAAATTACTTTAAGAACGTCTATTTACTATAAAATATGTCAAGAAATTCGCAACTTTTTGTCAAAAATGCTAATTGGATCAAATTTATATGTTGTACATATACAGTACATTTTTTCCGTTATCGTTTCAGTTATATTACATGTAATTTTCACAAAAACATCATCAAAATATTCTCCATATTTTAATGGGTGTTTTTTTACAAACACTTATCATTCTTTTGTAAAAAAAATTAAATCTACATTAGCGTTTCCGACTAATGTCGAATTTTGTGCCACAAGACATAGAAAATAAAATACGATAATCCAAAATCTTTGTCGGGACCACGGCTGTAGTCGGGACTAAAATTAACAAAAATGCTCGTAAATAATGTGTATAACGTGAAATGGTGATTGTTCGCGGGGTTAAATGGAGATTTCAACTTTTCAACACGGCAGAATTTTGTTGTAGTTACTCGGCTTATTCTTTTCTTTCTTGTCATATTTAGAATTCTCATAAAAAATAGTAAACACAATTTCAAGGATGTACTGATAATTTATTGGATCTTTCGAATCATTCGGTCGTCGCCCAACAATGTAGGAGCAGATTTGTTTTGTTTCCTTTTATACCTTTTCCTTGGGTCCAATTACGTTCTAATGTGATGAAGCCGTGAATAGTCACGTTCATTGACTGTATTTTTTTTTTTTTTATTAATAATCATTACAATAGTAATAATAATTCTTTATTTACATTTATTTTTTTTAGTTTCTAATGTTCAGACGTTTATGAACATTGTATATTAGTTATCGTCATAAATTGTCATTTTCGTTCCCGGTTCCTAATTTAAATTCATACTACTGGAATTAATCTGTCGGGAAAATTTATGTTCTTAGTTAATTCCATAAATAGCATAGCATGTGCTCCTAGTATTGGATACAGAACATAGAACTGTGCTGGAGCCATGATTCAAAGATCCAACGGAACCAAGATCCAGTCGAGACAATGTGAACGGTGAACGAGTGAACGAAATGAACGAAAGAACGACTAGTTTGCGTCGCGAACGATTTCGGTCACTCGTTCATTCGAACGACCCGTTCAATTTGATTCGTTCGTTCGCGAACGACACATCTCTAGCAACCACTGACGTCAGAATGTCAATAATTGCCGACCTTGCCCCTAACCTCACTTTCCCAAACCCAAATCAAGTCAGATAAGCCCTAACCATGAAGTCAACTTTCCCCACACAAGAATGAGCGTAATCACGAAATCGACGCCCCACAACCTCAAAAGTGACGTCGGCATCTTCAAACACGTGAAATTCGAGCACTTCATCGCCGGCATCAGTGGCGGCGTCACGTCTACCCTAATCCTGCACCCCCTCGACGTAATTAAAATCCGCTTCGCCGTCAACGATGGACGCCTGCACAAAACACCCCAGTACTCGGGAATATGGAACGCCTTCACCACCATATTCCGGAAGGAGGGACTCCGGGGCCTCTACCGAGGCGTCACACCGAACGTGTGGGGCGCCGGCAGCTCCTGGGGACTCTACTTTCTCTTCTACACGACAATAAAAACGTGGGTGCAAGGGGGCAACGCGAACGTGCCGCTGAAACCCACTCAACATCTAGTGGCAGCGTCAGAAGCCGGTGTGATTACTCTATTCATCACCAACCCGTTCTGGGTTGTCAAAACTAGGTTATGTCTCCAGTTTGGGGCTGGTCAAGAACAGTACAAGGGGATGATTGACGCTCTGGTTAAAATTTTTCAACAGGATGGAATCCGGGGGTACTATAAAGGTCTAGTTCCAGGGATTTTTGGGGTGTCGCATGGTGCTGTACAGTTCATGGTGTATGAAGAACTGAAGAATACGTATAGTGTGTACTATGGTTTGCCAATTTCGACGAAACAGGGAACGGTTCAGTATCTTTCATTCGCTGCATTGTCGAAGCTTGTGGCTGCGGGAGCTACGTATCCATATCAAGTGGTCAGAGCGAGGTTACAGAATCAACATTATTCATATACAGGGACTTTGGACTGTATTTCGCAAACATGGAGGTATGAAGGCTGGCGGGGGTTCTACAAAGGGCTAGGAACTAATTTGTTGAGGGTTACACCAGCCACCATGATCACGTTTTTAACGTACGAAAATGTATCTCACTTTTTAGCTACATACAGAAGTGATGAGAGTTGATGGAATATTGTTATTTTATTTTTTATTAGTCAATTTTACCGATTCCTGTTACATGTGATGTAGATTTTAAGTAGCGACTGAAGGGACCTTCTTGTCAATTGTTAACTACATAAGTTGTTATTATTTAAATGTACAGTTACTTTGTAAATTAATGAAATTTCTCATTAAAACTGGAAGCCATTTAAATCGAATTTTAGTCACCTGGTGACTCGAACTGGTGTAATTTATGTTTTAAGGATGGTAGTCATTATGTCATTGTCAAATGGGTAAAATAGAGTTCTGGGTGCTACTTTGGTCAATTTTCTGTTATTTTAACTTACAAAAACTCGAATTGTTTTGTGAAAATTTGAACTTCAAATATTTCGTAGTTAGTGTCATACCAACCCATCACCAACCACGACAAAATTCCCCATATTTAAAAAAACTCAAATTTCAATTAAATTCTGTGAAAAAACGTACGCGGTAGAAAAAATAGTATAAATAACTCGGTCATAAAGCCATTGTGACACTCATCCTTTATATAACTCGCGGCTTCGCCGCTCGTTCTATAAACTTTGATTCGTGCCTTAATATTTGCCTTATGAAACTCGTTCCTTAATATATAATTTAAGGTTCTTGTTCTGACTACGACAACAATATAAGTATATTAAGAAAAAGAGGGAAAATATAAGCCCCGCCCACCCCCCCCAAGAGACGACGGGGCGAAACTTAATTGGAAAATCCTTATTATTTCTCTACAAGAAATTACCATGTCAGACGTGTTTTTCAGTATTGTGTTTTTCAAAAATGACCATGTATATTAAGAAAAAATTAAAGTCAAAGATTAAGCCCCAACCCTACTTGCCCTGATCTAAATAGCAATGAAGTTTTCATTCGTTGACAGACTTAGGGGCGGAGCCTAATTGCAAAATCCATATATCCTTACAAAAATTTACCATTTTAAACGTATTTCAAGTTTCTAAGAAAAAAAAATCATCACAATTAAGATGGGGTGGGTGGGCGGGGTAATTATTTTGTCATTTTTTTCTTAATATATCTAGTATTCTTTGAACACGATACTCAAAAACATGTTTATAATTTCTTGTAGAGAAATAAGTATTTTGCAGTTAAGCTCCGCCCTCTTGGTTCTCGGTGCATAAAAAAATCATCACAATTGAGATAGGGCGGGTGGGCGGGCTTACATTTTGCCTTCTTGTTTTAAAATATGTAGCCTTCTTTTCTCAACAAGAAACTTAAAACATGTTTAAAATGGAAAATTTGATTAAGGAAATAATTACGCACCGCTTCATAGTTGCAAAATCCATATTTCCTTGCAAAAATGTACCAATTTAACCATGTTTTAAGTGTCTTGTTGTGAAAAAAAGATTACGACTACTAAGAAAGAAAGAAACATCAAAAGATAAGTCCCGCCCACCCACCCCATCTCAATTGTGATGTTTTTTTTTAATTCGTTGTGAACCAGGTGGCGGAGCTTAATTGCAAAATCCGTATTTTCCTACAAAATTTTACCATTTTCAACTTGTTTCCAGTTTCTTGTTATGGAAAGAAAATTACGTATACTTAAAAAAAAGCAAAATATAAGCCCCATCCTAGGTCAAAAGATCGTCATAGTTGAGATAGGGCGGGTGGGCGGGGCTTGCATTTTGCCTTGTTTTTCCAACTGTACGTAGTCGTCTATTCACAACCAAAGACTTAAAACTTTATCAAATTGGTAGATTCTTGTAAGCAATAATGGATTATGCAATTACGCTCCGCTTCTCGGACTGACAAGGAATGAAAAATTCATAGGAATTAAGACGAGGGCGGGTGGGCGGGGCATTATATTTTATTATGTTTTTTTAAACATATTTCTCTACAAAAATTTACAATTTTGACCATGTTTTAAGTTTCTTGTTGTGGAAAGAAAATTACAACTAGTAAGAAATTAATAAAAGTCAAAAGATAAACCCCGCCCACTCACCCCACCTCAATTGTGATGATTTTTTTTATTCGTCGTGAGCCAGGGGGCAGAGCCTAATTGAAAAATCCGTATTTCCCTACAAAATTTTACCATGTATATTAAGAAAAAAAAGGCAAAATATAAGCCCCGCCCACCCACCCTATCTCAATTCTGATGATTTTTTTATTCGATGTAAGCGGAGGGGCGGAGCTTAATTATAAAATCCTCATTTTTCTACGAGAAATTACCCATACCTGCCTTGATGTAAATAGTAATGAAGTTTTCATTCGTTGACAGACCTAGGGGCGGAGCCTAATTGCAAAATCCATATATCGTTACAAAAATTTACTATTTTAAACGTGTTTTAAGTTTCTAAGTAAAAAAAAAAATTATCACAATTGAGATCGGGCGGGTGGGCGGGGTTATTATTTTGTCTTTTTTCTTAGTATACATAGTACTCTTTGAACAACACGATACTCAAACACAAGTTTATAATTTCTTGTAAAGAAATAAGTATTTTGCAGTTAAGCTCCGCCTTCTTGGTTCTAGGCGAATAAAAAAAATCATCACAATTGAGACAGGGTGGGTGGGGGGGCTGACATTTTGCCTTCTTGTTTTAATATATGTAGACTTCTTTTCTCAACAAGAAACTTACAACATGTTTAAAATGAAAAATTTGGATAAGGAAATATCGATTTTGCAAGTAGACTCCGCCTCATAGTTTCAAAATCCATATTTCCTTGCAAAAATGTACCAATTTAACCATGTTTTAAGTTTCTTGTTGTGAAAAGATGGCTGCGTATATCAAGAAAAAAAGCCAAATAGAAGCCCCGCCCACCGACCCTGTCTCAATTCTGATTATTGTTTTTATGCGCTGTGAGCCGAGGGGCGGAGCTTAATTATAAAATCCTTACTTTTCTACGAGAAATTACCCATACCTGCCTTGATCCAAATAGTAATGAAGTTTTCATTCGTTGACAGACCTAGGGGCAGAGCCTAATTGCAAAATCCATATTTCTTTACAAAAATTTACCATTTTAAACGTGTTAAGTTTCTAAGAATAAAAAGGTCATCACAATTGAGATGGGGTGGGTGGGCGGGGTTATTATTTTATCTTTTTTCTTAATATACATGGTATTCTTTGAACAACACGATACTCAAAAACATGTTTATAATTTCTTGTAAAGAAATAAGCATTTTGCAGTTAAGCTCCGCCCTCTTGGTTTTCGGTGAATAAAAAAATCATCACAATTGGGATAGGGCGGGTGGGCGGGCTTATATTTTGCCTTCTTGGTTTAATATGTGTAGACTTCTTTTCTCAACAAGAAACTTACAACATGTTTAAAATGGAAAATTTGTATACAATTAGGTTCCGTTTCAGAGTTGCAAAATCCATATTTCCTTGCAAATATGTACCAATTTAACCATGTTTTAAGTTTCTTGTTATGAAAAGATGGCTATGTATAGTAATAAAAAAAGCCAAATAGAAGCCCCGCCCACCGACCCTGTCTCAATTCTGATTATTGTTTTTATGCGCTGTGAGCCGAGGGGCGGAGCTTAATTATAAAATCCTTACTTTTCTACGAGAAATTACCCATACCTGCCTTGATCCAAATAGTAATGAAGTTTTCATTCGTTGACAGACCTAGGGGCAGAGCCTAATTGCAAAATCCATATTTCTTTACAAAAATTTACCATTTTAAACGTGTTAAGTTTCTAAGAATAAAAAGGTCATCACAATTGAGATGGGGTGGGTGGGCGGGGTTATTATTTTATCTTTTTTCTTAATATACATGGTATTCTTTGAACAACACGATACTCAAAAACATGTTTATAATTTCTTGTAAAAAAAATAAGCATTTTGCAGTTAAGCTCCGCCCTCTTGGTTTTCGGTGAATAAAAAAATCATCACAATTGGGATAGGGCGGGTGGGCGGGCTTATATTTTGCCTTCTTGGTTTAATATGTGTAGACTTCTTTTCTCAACAAGAAACTTAAAATATGTTTAAAATGGAAAATTTGTATAACGATTTTTCAATTAGGCTCCGCCTCATGGTTGCAAAATCCATATTTCCTTGCAAAAATGTACCAATTTAACCATGTTTTAAGTTTCTTGTTATGAAAAGAAGGGCATGTATATTTAGAAAAAAAAGGCAAAATATAAGCGCCACCCACCCACCCTGTCTCAATTCTGATGATTTTTTTTATTCGCTGTGAGCCGAGGGGAGGAGCTTATTTATAAAATCCTTATTTTTCTACGAGAAATTACCCATACCTGCCTTGATGTAAATAGTAATGAAGTTTTCATTCGTTGACAGACCTAGGGGCGGAGCCTAATTGCAAAATCCATATATCGTTACAAAAATTTACCATTTTAAACGTGTTTCAAGTTTCTAAGAAAAAAATCATCACAATTGAGATGGGGTGGGTGGGTGGGGTAATTAGTTTGGCTTTTTTTCTTAATACATATGGTATTCTTTGAACAATACGATACTCAAAAACATGTTTATAATTTCTTGTAAAGAAATAGTATTTTGCAGTTAAACTCCGCCCTCTTGGTTCTCGGGGAATAAAAAAAATCATCACAATTGAGATAGGGCGGGTGGGCGGGCTTACATTTTGTCATCTTCTTTTAAAATGTGTAGACTTTTTTTCTCAACAAGAAATTTACAACAGGTTTAAAATGCAAAATTTGTATAACGATTTTGCAATTAGGCTCCGCCTCATAGTTGCAAAATCCATATTTCCTTGCAAAAATGTACCAATTTAACCATGTTTTAAGTTTTTTGTTGTGAAAAGAAGGGCATGTATATTTAGAAAAAAAAAGGCAAAATATAAGCCCCGCCCACCCACCCTGTCTCAATTCTGATGATTTTTTTTATTCGCTGTGAGCCGAGGGGCGGAGCTTAATTACAAAATCCTTATTTTTCTACGAGAAATTACCCATACCTGCCTTGATGTAAATAGTAATGAAGTTTTCATTCGTTGACAGCCTAGGGGCGGAGCCTAATTGCAAAATCCATATATCCTTACAAAAATTTACCGTTTTAAACGTGTTTTAAGTTTCTAAGAATAAAAAAGTCATCACAATTGAGATGGGGTGGGTGGGCGGGGTTATTATTTTACCTTTTTCTCTTAATATACATGGTATTCTTTCAACAACACGATACTCAAAAATATGTTTCTAATTTCTTGTAAAGAAATAAGTATTTTGCAGTTAAGCTCCGCCCTCTTAGTTCTCGGCGAATAAAAAAAATCATCACAATTGAGACAGGGTGGGTGGGCGGGGCTGACATTTTGCCTTCCTGTTTTAGTATATGTAGACTTCTTTTCTCAACAAGAAACTTAAAACATGTTTAAAATGGAAAATTTGTATAAGGAAATCATTACGCTCCGCTTCATAGTTGCAAAATCCATATTTGCTTGCAAAAATGTACCAATTTAACCATGTTTTAAGTTTCTTGTTGTGAAAAGATGGCTATGTACTGTAAGAAAAAAGAGGCAAAATATAAGCCCCGCCCACCCGCCCTGTCTCAATTCTGGTGATTTTTTTATTCGCTGTGAGCGTAATTGTAAAATCCTCACTTTTCTACGAGAAATTACCATGTGAAATATGTTCTTAAGTAATCGTGTTATACGAAGAAAACTAAATGTATTAATTAAAACAGAAAACCAAAAGAGAAGCCCCACCCATCCGTCTCGATCGTAATCGTAATGAATTTTTCATTCGACCGAGGGGCGGAGCGTAATTGCAAAATCGATATTTCCCTAGACAAATTTACTATTTTAAAATGTTTTAAATTTCTTGTTGTGAAAAGATGACTGCACATATTACGAAAACAAGGCAAAATGTAAGCCCGCCCACCCGCCCAATCTCAATTGTGATGATTTTTTTTTATTCACCGTGAATCAAAGGGGCGGAGCTTAACTGCAAAATACTTAAAATTAAAAACACGTTTTTGAGTATCGTGTTGTTCAAAGAATACTAACGTATATTACGAAAAAAACAAGCCGAAAATTAAACCCCACCCATAATCATCCCAAGCTTAACACTCGGACACTGGAAACCGGGTCAAACATGACCCAGTAAAACACTTTTTTTACAATAATTTTACGAAAAAATTTTTCTGGTTTCTTTCCATTCAGGAATGCTTTCCTTATGTTATTGGACACACTTTCTACTAATTGCCGTTGATTTTATAACTAAAATTATAAATCTATCAGCAAAAAAGTAAAATGGGTCAGATTTGACCCGGTTATGGTATTGCATGTGACTCTGTGCTGTGCGCAAAATAATGTTATATAACCTCACTTTTTATGACATTTCGCTGCGTTCAGTGCCGTACAACGGTGCTAGTTATTAAGTTTTTTTGAAAATGGTTAGCAGGAGGGCTCTGGCTGATGACGAACTATATTAGGAACGTATCAGAGATGATGATGAAGATGAATTGTGTGAATTATTCAATCCTGATTTTTTATTTTTCATAATATATTTTGTTCTTTACATTACATATAGTTTTTTTCGTTTATTTTGATCAGTTCTTATTGTTCATATATATTATTTTTTTTATATATTGTTTTTTTGTTTATTTTTGTCAAATAATATAATAAAAGTTTTTAAAATATATTGATTACACAAATTTTACTTGAAAAAATGTATTTTGCAGTTGCAGTCAAAAATTATGCATAAGAAATCAGCTGGGTCACAATTGACCCGTTATGGTAGTCTAGGTCATTCCTATTATTATGGTATGGCGAGTGTTAATTGTGTTGTCATTTACTAATGTCATAACTTGTAAAATGTACTTTATTTAGATAACCTTAATTTACTGACAGCAGTGTCATATCCAAGTCACATCTGTCAGATATTAATAATATCAAAGGCATTTTTTTGTCAAAATAGATTTTTGAAAAGTGCTAATATTTGTCAAAATGAGAGTAGAGCTTGAATCACATGATTTGTCATAAATGATTGAATGACAGTGCCTAATATTTTTTACAATAAAATAGGACGTAAAGCCTGTTTTAGAGCTTATGTCACTGGAATGAAAAATTGACCCCCCTTCTTCAGGGGATTTTCCTTCAGGTTGGCAGCACTGCACAGTACCGCAATTTGATTGGTTGAAAACCCAGTGTCAACGGCAACGTAACGGCGTGCTACCTTTCAACTGCGTATTTATCTTACAACGACAACGTCAACGGCGGACAGCAACCTCAGCGACAAGTTCATAAATCGACCTTTACAACGATTAGACTCCAAATGTTACAATTTGACATTTGTGATACCAACCAAAACAAAAATCCCCAAATTTTAAAACCCCCATTGTTTAAAAATTGAAAAGATGCGAAGTGGAAAAATTGTATAAAATGCGCTCACCGAAAGCCCCATTGTTGGCATTGCGGTCATCGACCGTCAAGTTCCCCAGCCCTGTCCTAATAGACTCCTCCAAACTGCAACTTTCGTCGTCTTCATCGGAAACTCTCTCAATGTTGTTTATCAAATTTCCGTTCTCTTCATTCATGTTTGCGTTATTGTCGTCCCAATCGTCTGCATCTGCACACCAATCAGTCACACTGGCCTTAGAAGCCACCGCTGTCGCCTCCTCGTGCTCTATTATCTTTTCCTGAGATTGGACTCGAACACAAATCCAGCTGAAATTAATAATTTGTGACGAAATTGAGGAAATTTCGTTACCAGGGGTATACCTTTCGCTCTGGTTCCAGCAGTTCGGGTTTATACACCCGAATAAGTACAGCGTCCTGTGGAACGCCGAGTTTTCCAAGGGGGCGTAAATTTGTACTACTAGTGGTCTCGGCAGCTGGCATAGTGGACATATGGGGGCGTCGAGTTTGATGTTGCTTGGTAGATCCTACAAAAAACGATTATTTAAATATTAATAATTAGCATCGGTTGTAGTGTGTATGTTAAAAACATGTTATGGTCCGTGTCTAGTACGAGGGGGTGTAACTCAGTGGTAGAGTGTCTGCTTCGCATGCTGAAAGTCCTGGGTTCAAATCCCAGCTCCTCCACTTTTTTTTTTCTCGATTGAATAACAATCGAACACAATTTCGCAATACTTACAACCCAAAAATGACAATTTTCCCGTGTGGAACTATTACTAAACCGAATTAATCGCGTTTTGTGTCAGAAATTTCGCCAACGCAATCGCTAGAGGTGTTAAATCGGTATTTCCACTAATGGCAGTACTTACGGGTTTTCCTCCAATTTTATTGGTCGTAAAGTTAATTTGATTTTTGTATTTTTCTGTAATCAATTCGTCTTCGAAACCGAGCGACACTTTTTGATCGTTTTGGGCCATGTTTTCGCATCAGCTGATAAATTAACTCCACAAACTAAACGATCTTGTCTTATAGTCAACCAAATATACAATGCATGACGTTCTCTCCCATGACGAGACCTCTCATTGGGGTGTTCGAGACAAAACTGGGGAGCGCTTGCGTCGCATTTTACCACTTCAGGCTGGCATTTATCGATTGCGTTTAAAAAGTTGTAAAATGAAGACGTTTTGAGTTATGGGAGGTGAAATGACCCATATCTCGTTTACTAAATCTCGCGTGATTAAATTGGCGGTTGTCCTTCCACATAAAGAGCAGAAAGGATTTTCGAGCATGCGATATTATAACTTGGATCCTATTTTCTTTACTTTGGCTAGACTTTTTTAAATTTTGTTAAGTGCTTTCAGTAAATGGTGAAAATGTGTTTCGGAGAAAGCGACAATTAAAATTCGCGCTCTAGTTTGACAGCTGCACTAACCTAACAAACCAAAAATTCCTAATATAACTGTCAAAATCACCGTCAATGTCAAACCGTAAGGAAAATCAACAAAGCAACGTTTTCCTTGATTTTTGGAAATTTATCGAATTTGTGGGTGTTGTAAGTTCGGAATTATGATGTTACAGTGAAAGTAAATAAGCAGACATGGACATCCTTAAAGCCGAAATTGCGAGGAAGCGTAAGCTTCTTGAAGAGAAAAATGTTATTGTAAGTGTTTTTAGTCATTTTTATTATAAATATGATATTTCTTGAGACAGACGACTCTTACGTTGCTGCTACAACCAGTTTGTGATGATCGTTGTGATTAAAAAAATCTTTTTTATGAGTTCCACGCTGAAATCTGTTCACATTGTCCTTTCACTTCACATGCTGGTTGTAACTAGTTGTGTTTAGAGGCGAAGAAAGTTCTTTATTTTCTCCTTTTTATGTCTTTTTATTTTGTCGTGTTCGGCATTGACAACTGTCAAATCTCGGTCTAAGATCTATTATTATTTTTCTTATCATTTGTTTACCTTGTTTGTTTTTCTCAATGAATATTAAAAACGACGTAAGTTTTATTAGTATTCTTTTTTCGTATCATATTTTTTTTGTTTTTTTTTAATCGGTTCTTATAAGTCAGTTTTTCATCACCCAGTATATTTTACGAATACTATGTAGATGGATAATCACCAATCAGATTTTCTAAATGTTGTGAGCAATGTGCATGAACGCTATACTTTATTTTGTTTATAAACGACTAAAAGCATATTTTATGAACGCCGCACTTTATAAATTTTGAAAGTAGTACTTATTTTTTGACGTAATTTTTCTGTGACTTTTTTCCGCGTTTTTTGATTCCGGTTTTTGCCATTTTTTGTCACTCTTTTTATAACATTTATTGTTTTTTTACCATTTTTGGCTGCAGCTTTATGTCTTCTTTTTTCTTGTCGCTTTTTTGACACTGATTTCTTGCCACTTTTTTATCTTTTCTTATGGAAATTTGTTTTTTTGACATATTTTTTGGAACTCTTCGTGTTCCACTTTTTTATCGCATTTTTGAAGACCTTTTGGCGCTTTTTTTGTTCGCTTTTTGACGCCCTTTTACTTGTCACCTTTTTCCCTTCGTTTTTTTTTTTTTTGTTATTTTTGTGTCACTTTTTTAGTACTTTTTTCGCTTGTAGTGTCGTATTTTTTTGTCTTTTTTGTATTCCTTTATTGTCGTATTTGTTTGTCTTTTTTGTATTCCTTTATTGCTGTCTTTTTTGGCGTAGTTTGTCATCTTTTTCTTGTCACTTTTTTTTTAAATTACATCGAAAAATAGGGAAATTGAAAAACTTTCAATAAAAAAATTAAGTAGGTAATTGGAACATCGGAAAAATCGGGAAATCGAAAAATTAAATATCGAGAGATTGTAAAAGCGAAAAATTAAATCATCCAAAAATTTGACAAATTGTGAAACCGAAAATAAAGAAACGAAAAATTGTAAAATCAAACAGAAGAACTAAAAAAATCGAAAAATTGAAAACATTGAAAAATAGAAAATTTGCAAAATTCAAAAATTGTAAAAGTTGAAAAACTGCAGAATAAAGACTGAAAAATTAAAAATCGAGAAACGAAAAATTGAAAAATTCCGACAATGTAAAAATGAAATCAGAATAAATAAAAAATGGAAAATCTAAAAATTCGGAAGTTAAAGAAAGTCGAAAAATTGAAGAAATAACCGAAAAATTAAAAATCGAGAAACGAAAAATTGAAAAAGAAAACTTGAAAAGTTGCCAAATTAAAATTATAAATCCGAAAAATCGACAAATTTAGAAATAGAGAAAATAAAAAATCCAGGAATTGAAAATATTGAAAAACTGAAAATTTGCAAAAGTTGCAAAATTTCGAAAACGTAAAAATAAAATAAGAAAACATCGATTAATTAAAAAGTTTTAAAAAATGGCGACATTGAAGAAATGAAGAATTGAAAAATTGAAGAAAAAAATTGAAAAATTTAAAAATTGTGAAATAAAAACCGAAAAACTAAAAATCAAATGTTGTAATAATTGTAAACATGGAAAATTAAAAGTGGAGAAACCAAAAATTGCAAAACTGAAAAATTGGAGAAAAGAAAAATTGAATAATAATCGAAAAATTAAAAAAAAAATAAGAAATTGAAAACATTGATAAATTAAAAATTTGCAAAATTTGGAAAAACGAAAATTTAAAAATCGAGAAATTGAAAAATTGAAAAGTTCCAAAATTGTATAACCGAAAAATCGACAAATTTATAAATTGAAAAACTAAAAATTCGTAAAATTAAGAAAACAAAAACAAAAAAAGGAAAAATCGAAAATCAAAAACTGAAAAATCGACAAATTTAAAATTGAACAGATGAAAAATCGAAAAACTAAAAATTCAAAGGATAATAAAACCGAAAAATTGAAGAAATTACTGAAAAATTAAAAATCGAAAAACGAAAAATTTAAAAATTTCCGAAAATGTAAAAATGAAGTCAAAATAAATGAAAAATCGAAAAACTAAAAATTTAAAAGTTCAAACAAATCGAAAAATTGAAGAAATTACCGAAAAATTAAAAATTGAGAAACGAAAAATTCCAAAATTGAAAAATTGAAGAGAGCAAAAAATGTATAATCGAAAAACTGCAAAATAAAAACTAAAAAACTAAAAGTCGAGTAATAGAATAAATGAAAACGCCGAAAATTGAAAAATCCCTAAATTTAAAAATTTAAAAATTGCAATATTCTGAAATCGAAAAATTGGAATACTGAAATAGCGAAAAACTGAAAAATTAAAATATCGAAATAGAAAACTGGAATAATTGAAAAATCGAAAATTTGTAAAATTGAAGAAACTAAAAATTGAAAAGTTGCAAAACTGCAAAATAAAAGTCGAAAAATAAAATCGAATAATGGAATAATTGAAAAATCGAAAAATTCAGTCAAAAAGTCGTAAAATTGTGAAAACAAAAATAAAAAAAGAAAAAAATCGAGAAATAGAAGAAATAAAGAATTGATAAATTAAAAGTCGAGAAACGAAAAATTGTACAACTGTAAAGTTGAAAAATCGAAAAATTGCAAAATAAAATCCGAAAAAGTAAAAATCGAATATTGTAATAATTGAAAACACGGAAAATCGAGAAATTGAAAATCAAAAATTGGAAAATTGTAAAACCGAAAAATTGAAAAACTAAAAATTCAAAAAATAAAAAAAAAAACGAAAAATTTTAGAAATCACTGAAAAATTAAAAATCCAGAAATGAAAAATTGAAAAATTCCCAAAACGTAAAAGTGAAATCAGAATAAATACTTAAAAAATCGAAAATCTGAAAATTCAGAAGTTAAAGAAAGTCGAAAAATTGAAAAAATCACCGGAAAATTGAAGAAAGGAAAAATTCAAAATCCAAAAATTGCAAAATAAAAACTGAAAAATTAAATATGGAATATTGTAACAATTGAAAACATGTAAAATTAAAATTCGGGAATTTGAAAATCAAAAATTGCACAATTGTAAAACCAAAAAATCGACAAATTTAAAATTGAAAAGATGAAAAATCGTAAAATTGTGAAAACATAAAAGTGATAAAGAATTGAATTAAAAAATCGAAAAATTGAAAAAACGTACTGAAAAATTAGAAATCGAAAAACGTAAAATCGCAAAATTGGAAAATTGAAGAAAGGGAAAATTCAAAATCGAAAAGTTGCAAAATTGTAAAACCGAAATTGTGAACACGTAAAAATAAAAAAGAAAAAATCGTTTAATTAAAAAACTCCAAAGTTAAAAAAATCGAAAAATGGAAAAAAAAATCAAAATTCGAAAACAAAATTAAAAGTCGAGAAATGAAAAATTGAAAAAAAAGAAAATTGGAAAATCGAAAACTGAAAATGGAATATTGTAATAATTGAAAGCATGGAAATTAGAAATTGTAAAATTACGAAAACATAAAAATGAAAAGAAATAAATTAAAAAATCGAAAAATTGAAAAAACGTACTGAAAAATTAGAAATCGAAAAACGAAAAATTGCAAAATTGGAAAATTGAAGAAAGATAAAATTCAAAATCGAAAAGTTGCAAAATTGTAAAACCAAAATTGTGAACACGTAAAAATAAAAAAGAAAAAATCGTTTAATTTAAAAACTCAAAAATTAAAAAAATTGAAAAATGGAAAAAAATTCAAAATTCGAAAACAAAATTAAAAGTCGAGAAATGAAAAATTGAAAAAAAAAAGAAAAATTGGAAAATCGAAAACTGAAAATGGAATATTGTAATAATTGAAAGCATGGAAATTAGAAATTGTAAAATTACGAAAACATAAAACTGAAAAGAAATAAATTAAAAAATCAAAAAATTGAAGAAGTGTATTAAAAAATTATAAATCGAGAAACGAAAAATTGCAAAATTGAAAAATTGAAAAAAGGAAAAATGGCAAAATAAAAACCGAAAAACTAAAAATCAAAAAGTAGCTTAATTGAAAACACCGAAAAAAAATCGAGAACTTGAAAAATCCAAAAGTTGCAAAATTATAAGACCGGAAAATCGACAAATTTAAAAATTGAAAATTTGCAAAACTGAAAAAAAGAAAAATTGAAAATTTGCAAAATAAAAACCGAAAAACTAAAAATCGAAAAATTGAGAGCAAAATTGACAAATTAAAAATTGAAAAAATAAAACATCGTAAATTTGCGAAAACGTAAAAATAAAAATTACAAAAAATCGATTAGTAAAAAATTGAAATGTTAAAAAATCGAAGAATTGAAAAATTAAAACTCGAAAAACGAAAAGGAAAAATTGCGAAAATGTAAAATTAAAAAATTGAAAAATAGAAAAATTGTGAAATAAAAACCAAAAACCTAAAAATGGAATATTGTAATAATTGAAAATATGGAAAATAAAGAATTCAAAAACAGAAATATCCAAAAGTTAAAAAAATCATAAAATTGAAGAAAAATTAGAAATCGAGAAAGGAAAAATTGCAAAATATAAACCGAATATTATGATGCGAAAATGTAAAAATGAACAAAGAAAAAATTTTAAAAAATCGAAAAATTAAAAAAAATAAGAAATTGAAAAAATTGATACATTGAAAACATTGAAAATTAGAAAATGTGCAAAACTGAAAAAACGAAAAGTTGAAAAATTGCAAAATAAAGACCGAAAAACTAAAAATCGAATGAAAAGACGCAAAATTAAAAATCGACAAATTTATAAATTGAAAAATTCAAAAGTTAAAAAAATCCAAAAATTGAAAAAATAATCCGAAAAACTAAAAATCGAATATTGTAATTAAAAATCAAAAATTGCAAAATTGTAAAACCGAAAAATCGACAAAATATTAAATTGAAAAGATGAAAAATCGAAAAACTAAAAATTGGAAAATAAAAAAAAGAAAGGAAAAATACAAAATTAAAAAACAAAAACTGGAAAACTAAATATCGAATATTGTAAAAATTGAAAACATGGAAAATTAAAATTCCAGAAATTGAAAACCAAAAATTGCACAATTGTAAAACCGAAAGAACGACAAATTTAAAATTGAAAAGATAAAAAATCGTAAAATTGCGAAAACATAAAAATGAAATAACCATAAATTAAAAATCGAAAAACTAAAAATTCAAAAGTTAAAAAAAACGAAAAATTGAAGAAATTACTGAAAAATTGAAGAAAGGAAAAATTCAAAATCCAAAAATTGCAAAATAAAAACCGAAAAACTAAAAATCGAATGATGAAATAATCGAAAACACAAAATTAAAAGTCGAGAAATTGAAAAGTTGCAAAATTGGAAAACCGAAAAATCGACAACTTTATAATTTGAAAAAAATAAACAATTGTAAAATTATGAAAACAAACATTAAAAAAGAAAAATTGAAAAATTCAGAAGTCGAGGAACGAAAAATTGCACAACTGTAAAATTGAAAAATCGAGAAATTGAAAAGATGAAAAATTGAAAAATTCCGAAAATGTAACAATGGGATCAGAATAAATAAAAAATCGAAAATCTAAAAATTCAGAAGTTAAAGAAAGTCAAAAAATTGAAGAAATAACCGGAAAATTAAAAATCAAGAAACGAAAAATTGAAGAAAGGAAAAATTCAAATTCCAAAAATTGCTAAATAAAAACTGAAAAACTAAATATCGAATATTGTAATAATTAAAAACATCGAAAATTAAAATTTTGAGAAATTGAAAATCAAAAATTGCACAACTGTAAAACCGAAAAAATTGAAAATTTGCTAAAACGTTCAAATGAAATCGGAATAAATACAAAATCGAAAAAATAAAAATTCAAAAGTTAAAGAAAGTCGAAAAATTTGAGAAATTACCGAAAAATCGAAGAAGGAAAAATTCAAAATCCAAAAATTGTAAAATAAAAACCGAAAAATTAAAAATCGAATATTGTAATAATTAAAAACATGGAACATTAAAAATTGGAAAACCGAAAAATCGACAAATTTAAAATTGAAAAGATAAAAAAAACGTAAAAATGAAATAACCATGAATTAAACAGAAATTACTGAAAAATTAAAAATCGAGAAACGAAAAATTGCAAAATAAAAACCGAAAAACTAAAACTCGAATAATAGCATAAATGAAAACACCAAAAATAAAAAATCGAGAAATTAAAAAATTGCAAAACGGTGAAATCGAGAAATTGAATAATAAAAAATCGATAGCAACAGACTTTGTAAACGACAAAAACTTTACCTTATATGAACGAGGGACGCCGTACATTGTAAATGCTGTATACCGTACTTTAGAATTACTTATATAGAGCGACTCAAAATAAATTGAATATTTAAATCAAGAAAAGTCACTTTATATGTATGTTAAAAATAATCCAACTCACATTTTCTTTTATTATTTTCAGGCACCCAACAAAAAGTACTTTCGCAGAGGCGACCTCCTAGCCAAGGAACAGGAAGAATATCGCCAAAAATATGGCGCCAGCAACCTGGAGGACTCGTGCAACTCCACCCTCGTCCCAGCAGGTAACCCCCCCCCCCCTAACACCACTCCCCGTCTAACCCAATTTCACCTAGGCGACAAATCCGACTCCGACATGGAACGCCACAGCATCCTCCCCCGAAGCGAAGTAATATCGCGTCTACGTGACCGCTCCGAACCAATATTGCTATTCGGGGAGACCGAAATCGACGCCTTCAAGCGCCTCCGGAAATGCGAGCTCCTGGAGCCCGAGGTCAACAAGGGCTTCAGGAACGACTTCCAGGAAGCCATGGAGCAAGTGGACCAGGCGTACCTCGACGAGCTGCTCATATCGTCGGAAAACGCCAAAAACGACACCAAACCCGCGAGCAAAGAAAAAACGGTGTCGGTAACGTACGACCAGCTCCGGGAAATGGCCAAGGATATGGGAAAAGGGGAACGGGAGCGTGACATGACGGTGATCGTGCAGTTCATCCAAGTGAGTTTATTAAAATCGATTTATTTGGAATAGGGGGGCGGCGCTACATATGGGGGCGGCAGTTCGTCGGGCTCCACGGGCGGCGCTCGGGGGGCTTCTATCGTGTACGGGGGCGGCGGCGGCAGCCCTACGAACGATTTATTAGTATTATTATAATTTTTTGTTGTTGTTTTAAGTGTACCTGTGGCTGGCGAAATTTGTGTCCTGTTCTGTTGTTCCTGCAATTGTTGCATGATCATCGATATTAATGTTTGTGATAGGGATATAACTCGGCCTGAAACAGTGTTATCACAGTTCGCTGTCATATGACGGAGATAATTATTTACCTGTCTCTTTGATTTTTCGGATTAGAACTATTTTTGAGAGTCTTATGTACAGGGCGATGAAGAATCCCACCACGTAAAAAACTACAACTAAAACTATTAACGACACAGGTGCATCTTCCTCGCCATCCATTTTTGTGTACTTAGTATTAAACAATGCGATAAAAATTATCGTGGAATGATTATTATCTTATCGTTTCTAGTCGCATTATTGTGTTCTAGTCGTTCGTAAGGCCTGGTTTTTTCCTTATTGATACGATCTTTACGTCCTTTTGCAATCCGGTGATTGGGTTATCGGAAATCGAGAGGATTTTGTTGTTTTAGAACGACTAAGGCGATGCGCGTGATGTGTACAACGTGGTGATTGCGTTTGTTTTAATCAGATAACGAATTAAATAGAGCTGTCAGGTGGTTTTGACTATTTTTACGCATGTCTGTTTGTTGAAGTTGAAAAAAGATTTTCTGACATTGACATATAAATCAGATAGATGGTCGAATTGTTCTCTTTATTTTAATAACGGATTTCTACAAAATTTCGTAGAAATTGGTTTCTGATAACGAAACAAGACTGGATTAGTATAATCTCCCCCTATTAGAATATAGCAACTAGTGTATGGTAAATTACTTCATTATCAAATTATGTATTGATGAAAATTTCAAAATTTAACAGTGACAATTCAGTATTTTGTCACTCTCAACATCGAAATTACTTCAAAAAAACTATCTGACTAAATAAAATTGGTCCACGTTTGTTTAGACATGACTTTGTTAAATTTCGAGATGACATCATCAAATTTTTGGTTTTTCTAATCGTCTACATGATAGTCTTAAAGTACAGCCGAAATTCTACAGCAATCAGTGCAGTAGTTTCGGATATGACGTTTCTTATACAGTTATCAACAGACAAACGGAAATGGAAGACCGACTTTTCGTATAGTACAAATCCCAAAACGTCTGGAGAAAAATGCTTTATTAAATTTTAAGACTTGTGGTCGTAGACCAATTTTTTCTGGTTGTTTTTTTGGGCCTTTTTTTCGTGGTTTTTGTATTTTTTTTCTCCCACGTTTTTTCTTTTTTTTTCACTTTTTAATTGCTTTTTGTCGCCTTTTAGTACTTTTTGGGGTCGGTGTTTTTGTCCTGCTTTTTTTGTCGTATTTTTCCGCCTTTTTTTTGTTAATAAAATTACGTCTAAAAATTGGAGTAATTAATTGACACATCGGAAAAATGGAGAAATCAAAAATTAAAAATCGAAAATTTGCAAAATTGAAGAAACTAAAAATTGAAAAGATAAAAAAGAAAAAATCTAAAATTGAAGAAACTCCAAAGTTAAAAAAAAATCGAGACGCGAAAAATCGAAAAATTACAAATCTCTAAAATTGGAAATTTGAAGAAAAGAAAAATTGAAAAATCGAAAAATCGCAAAATTAAAATAGAAAACTAGAGTACGTAATTGAAAAAACAAAAAAAAATCGAAAATAAAATATAGAGAAAAATAAAAAATTAAACAATCGAAAAATTTAAAAATTCAAAAGTTAAAAAATGGAAAAATTAAAAAATGCAAAAGTAAAAAGCATCGAAAAATTGAAGAAACCAAAAACTGAAGAAATTCTTTTTCGTCCTTTTGATCCTTTTAATCCTTTTCGTCATTCGTCCTTTTAGTCCTTTTCGTTTTTTTCGTTTTTTAGTCCTTTTCGTCATTCGTCCTTTGTGTTTTTCGTCCTTTGTCCTTTTCGTCTTCGTCCTTTTCTTTTTGTTTCATCTTTTTAGTCCTTTTCGTCCTTTGCCCTTTTCGTCCTCCGTCCTTTTCGCCCTTATCGTCCTTTGTCCTTTTCGTTTTTCGTCTATTTCGTCCTTCGTCCTTTTCGTTCTTCGTCTATTTCCTCCTTCTCCCTTATCGTCCTTTTCGCCCTCCGTCCTTTTCGCCCTTCCTCCTTTTCGTTCTTCGTCCTTTTCGTCCTTCGTTCTTTTCGCCCTTCGTCCTTTTCGTCCTTCGTCCGTTTCGTACTTCGTTCTTTTCGTCCTTCGTTCTTTTCGTCCTTCGTTCGATTCGTCCTTCGTCCTTTTCGTGCTTCTTCCTTTTCGCCTTTTTCGCCCTTTTCGCCTTTTTCGTCCTTTTCGCCTTTTTCGTCCTTTTCGCCTTTTTCGTCCTCTTTCGTCCTTCTTCGTCCTTTTTCATCCTTGTTCGTCCTTTTCGTAATATTTCATCCTTTTTCGTCCTTTTGCATCCTCTTTCGTTCTTCTTCGTCCTTTTTCGTCCTTTTAGTCTTTTCCGTAATTTTTCATCCTTCTTTGTCCTTTTTGATCCTCTTTCGTCCTATTTCGTCCTTTTCGTACTTTTTCGTCCTTTATCGTCTTTTTCGTACTTTTCGTCCTTTTCGCCATTTTTGTCGTTTTCGTCCTTGTCGTTATTTTCGTCCTTTCCGTATTTTAAGTCCTTTTCGTCCTTTTCGCCTTTTTGGTCCTTTTCGTCTTTCGTTCTTTGTCCTTTTCGTCCTTTGTCCTTTTCGTCCTTCGTCCTTTGTCCTTTTCGTCCTTTGTCCTTTTCGTCCTTTGTCCTTTTCGTCCTTTGTCCTTTTCGTCCTTCGTCCTTTTCGTTTTTTTCGTCCTTCGTCCTCTTCGTCCTCCGTCCCTCCGTCCTTTTCGCCCTTATCGTCCTTCGTCCTTTTCGTTTTTAGTCTATTTCGTCCTTCGTCCATTTCCTCCTTCTCCCTTATCGTCCTTTTCGTTTTTTCGTCTTTTTCGTTCATCGTTCTTTTTGCCCTTCGTCCTTTTCGTCCTTCGTTTCGTACTTCGTTCTTTTCCTCCTTTTAGTACTTCGTCATTTTCGTTCTTCGAACTACTCGTCCTTCGTTCTTTTCGTCCTTTTCGTCTTTTTCGTCCTTCTTCGTCCTCTTTCATCCTCTTTCGTCCTATTTGTCCTTTCTCGTCCTTTTTCGTCTTCTTTCGTCCTTTTCGTCGTTTTTCATCGTTTTCGTCCTTTTTCGTCGTTTTCGTCCTTTTTCGTCGTTTTCGTCCTTTTTCGTCCTTTTTCATCATCCTTCGTCCTTTTCGTCCTTTTACGTCCTTTTTCGTCCTTTGCGTAATTTTTCATCCATTTTTGTCCTTTTTCGTCCTGTTTGTCCTTTTTCGTCTTCATTCATCCTTTGCGTCCTTTTTCGTCCTCTTTCGTCCTTTTCGTCCTTTTTCGTCATTTTCGTCCTTTCCATCCTTTCCGTAATTTTTCATTCTTTTTCGTCCTATTTCGTCCTTGTTCATCCTTTTCGTCGTTTTCGTTCTTTTTCATCCTCCTTCGTCCTTTTCGTCCTCTTTCGTCCTTTTATGTCCTTTTTCGTCCTTTTCGTAATTTTTCATCCATTTTCGTCCTTTTCGTAATATTTCATCCTTTTCCGCCCTTTTCGTCCTTTCCGTAATTTTGCATCCTATTTCGTCCTTTTCGTTCTTTGTACGTCCTTTTTCATTCTCTTTCGTCCGTTTTCGTCCTTTTCGTCCTTTCCGTAATTTTTCATCCTTCTTCGTCCCTTTTGATCCTCTTTCGTCCTTTTTCGTCCTTTTCGTCCGTTTTCGACCTTTTCGTCCTTTTTCGTCCTGTTTCGTCTTTTTCGCCCTTTTCGTCCTTTTTCGTCCTATTTCGTCCTTTTTCGTCTTCTTTCATCCTCATTCGTCCTCTTTCGTACTTTTCGTCCTTTTCACCATTTTCGTCGTTTTCGTTATTTTCGTCCTTTTCGTCCTTTTCGCCTTTTTTGGCCTTTTCGTCCTTTTAGTCGTTTTCGTCCTTCGTCTTTTTCGTCATTCATCTTTTTCGTCCTTCATCCTCTTCGTCGTTTTCGTCCTTCGTCCTTTTCGTCCTTTGTCCTTTTCGTCCTTTGTCCTTTTCGTCCTTTGTCCTTTTCGTCCTTCGTCCTTTTCGCCTTTTTCGTCCTTTTAGTCCTTTTCGTCCTTTCCGTAATTTTTCATCCTTCTTCGTCCCTTTTGAACCTCTTTCGTCCGTTTTCGTCCTTTTCGTCCGTTTTCGTCCGTTTCGTCCTTTTTCGTCCTGTTTCGTCTTTTTCGTCCTTTTCGTCCTTTTTCGTCTTCTTTCATCCTCGTTCGTCCTCTTTCATCCTCGTTCGTCCTCTTTCGTACTTTTCGTTCTTTTCGCCATTTTCGTCGTTTTTGTCCTTTTCGTTATTTTCGTCCTTTTCGCCTTTTTCGTCGTTTTCGTCCTCGCCCTTTTCGTCTTTTTCACCTTTTCGCCCTTTTCGCCTTTTTTGGCCTTTTCGTCCTTTTAGTCGTTTTCGTCCTTCGTCATTTTCGTCATTCATCTTCTTCGCCCTTCGTCCTCTTCGTCGTTTTCGTCCTTCGTCCTTTTCGTCCTTCGTCCTAAGTACTTTTGGTCCTTCGTCCTAAGTCCTTTTCGTCTTAAGTCCTTTCCGTCCTTCGTCCCAAGTCCTTTTCGTCCTTCGTTCTTTTCGTTCTTCGTCCTTTGTCCTTTTCGTCGTTTTCGTCCTTCGTCCTTTTCGTCCTTCGTCCAAAGTCCTTTCCGTCCTTCGTCCTAAGTCCTTTTCGTCCTTCGTTCTTTTCGTCCTTCGTCCTTTGTCCTTTTTTCGTCCTTCGTCCTTTGTCCTTTTTTCGTCCTTCGTCCTTTTCATCCATTTAGTCCTTTTCGCCTTTTTCGTCCTTTTAGTCATTTTCGTTCTTTTTCGTCCTATTTCGTCCTTTTTCGTCTTCTTTCATCCTCGTTCGTCCTCTTTCATCCTCGTTCGTCCTCTTTCATCCTCGTTCGTCCTCTTTCGTACTTTTCGTCCTTTTCGTTATTTTCGTCCTTTTCGTATGTTTAGTCCTTTTCGTCCTTTTCGCCTTTTTTGGCCTTTTCGTCCTTTTAGTCGTTTTCGTCCTTCGTCTTTTTCGTCATTCATCTTTTTCGTCCTTCATCCTCTTCGTCCTTTTCGTCCTTCGTCCTTTTCGTCCTTCGTCTTAAGTCTTTTCATCCTAAGTCCTTTCCGTCCTTCGTCCCAAGTCCTTTTCGTCCTCCGTTCTTTTCGTCCTTTGTCCTTTGTCCTTTTCGTCCTCTTCGTCGTTTTCGTCCTTCGTCCTAAGTCCTTTTCGTCCTAAGTCCTTTCTGTCCTTCGTCCTAAGTCCTTTTCCTCCTTCGTTCTTTTCGTCCTTCGTCCTTTGTCCTTTTCGTCCTTCGTCCTTTTCATCCATTTAGTCCTTTTCGCCTTTTTCGTCCTTTTAGTCATTTTCGTTCTTTTCGTCATTTTAATCCTTATCGTCCCTTTCGTCCTCTTACTCCTTTTCGTTCTTTTCGTCCTTTTGAAAAATGGATAAATGAAAAATCCCGAAATGAGAAATCGAAAAATTGGGGAAACGAAAAATTCCAAAATAAAAATGGGGAAACCAAAAAATTCTTAAAATGGAGTCATTTAAACATCGAAAAAACCTAGAAATCGAAAAGCTAAAATTGCAAAGTAGTAAAATCTAAATTTTGAAAAACACAAAATTAAATCATCTGAAAATTGGAAAATCGAAGAATTGAAGAAACGTTAAGTTGTAAAATAAAAAACGAAAATTTGCAAAACTGAAGAAACGAAAAATTGAAAAGTTGAAAAACTGCAAAATAAAAACCGCAAAACTAGAAATCGAATAATGGAATAATAAATAAAAAAAAATAATAAAAATCGAGAAACTGAAAATCGAAAAAATTGCAAAATCGTAAAATCGAAAATTCGGCAAATTTAAATGAGAGAAAAAAAAAGAAAAAAGAAAATTCTAAAAATGAAGTAATATCAAAGTTAAAAAAATCGAAAAATCTGTAAATTTGGAAATTTGAAGAAAAGAAAAATTAAACAGTCAAAAAATTTAAAAATTCAATATGTAGTTGAAAAATCGAAAAATTGAAAAATCGTAAAATTGCGAAATCGTACAAATTTAAAAAAATGGAAAAATTTTAAAATTCACAAGTTAAAAACATCGAAAAATCGAAGAAACGGAAAACTAAAAAAACGCAATATTAAGAATGGAGAAACGAAAAATTCCAAAATAAAAATCGACAAACCAAACCAATCGAAAAATGGAATAATTGAAAAATTGAAAACACTATTTCATGGCACCTAAAGTACGAAAAAATAGATTTCTCGTTTCCGTCTGCGTGTCGTTAAATAGTGGGAATTTTTACTTTTTACAGAACCTAGAGATTTTTGATTGACATTTACCTTTTTACATCTTTACTTTTATTTAGTAGAAAATATTCGCCAGCTTCTGTTTTATTTTATTATCGTATTTCGAACTGATCTCCCTTTAATATAAATCTCATCGTCTAGAAGTCATTTGTTTAAAGTAGATCGCATTTTGATCTCTCTGGGATTAATATTTACGCACTGTTTCCTGCGATAACGAAAATGAATACGTTTGTACTACAAAAATAAAACCAAAAAATAGGCGAGACTTTCATGAATTTATGAAGTTGCATTTTTTATTCTAGTTTATTCTCCATTTATGGCACGAACAACTGCAGAACCGCCCAACGGAAGAAAAACAAGGCACGAAAGGAAAACTCGCTGGCGCCACCAACACTCAGACTCAAGAATACCTAAAACCCCTACTCAGAAAACTAAAAACATTCACCCTCCCTGAAGACATTTCGGACAGTTTAACAGAAATTGTGGTTCATCTCTTGAACAGAAATTATTTAAAGGTACGTATTTTAAATTAAAAAAAAAATAGTCATTTTAAATCAAATTTATAGGCCAGCGACGCCTATTTACAAATGGCGATCGGTAACGCCCCCTGGCCCATCGGAGTTACCATGGTGGGTATCCACGCTCGGACAGGTCGAGAAAAAATTTTCTCAAAAAATGTAGCCCATGTGATGAACGACGAAACCCAGAGGAAGTATATTCAAGGGTTGAAGAGGTTAATGACCAAGTGTCAGGAATACTACCCCACGGACCCATCCAGATGCGTCGAATACGCAGCGTTCGGAACGCCCCCACAACCAGAGTCAGCTTCTTCAAATTGACAATGTGACGATATTATGTATTATGTAAAAATAGTTTTAAGTTACAATAAAGAATATTAAAAAAAAAATTGAAAAGAAAAGAAAAAACTGGGACATGTGCTGGCTCATTTTTGAAAAAGTCTCGGGATGCCTGTTCTTTTTTTAATTAAAAAACTGAGGACCTGTTGTGTTTTAATTTTTAAAGAAGTTGAAATAATCTAGGTACCACTGGAGTCTTATTTATGCAAAAAAATTAAGGAATCCAAATACATAATTTGAAAAAATCCTGGGAGCATCTAGTATGATTTTTGATAAAATATGAAACAATTACAGGGATCCCTGGTCTCATATTTTTATTTTTGAAAAAATCTCAAAAATGTACCAGTTTTTGAAAGAATTTAGAGGACTTCTGGTATCTTATTTTGAAAAGAATTTGAAGGAATGTCGAAGGATTCTGGTGTTTTATTCTTGAAAAGTTTGTAAGAATTTCTAGTGTCACACTTTTTAATGAATGTGAAAGAACCTTGGTGTTTTGAGGGATCCTTATGCATTATTTTGAAATAATCTCGGGAATTCATGGTATCCTGTTTTTTGGGAAAATCTAGGAAACCCTTTTTGTTTCAAAATTTGACAATCTTGAGGATTATCTGCTTTATAAAAAAAAAATGGAAAGAATCTCGGGCATTCCTGAAGCCTTATTTTGGAAAAAAATTTGAAGGAATCTCGGGGACTCCTAGTGTATTTTTTTACGAATTTGAAGAAACTCGGGAGACTCTGGTCTCTTATTTTTGCTGTTTTAATTAAAAAAAAAAAGAAAAAAAATCTCGGGGGCATCTGATTTGATTTTTCATTCTGAAAAAATTTGGAACAATCTAGGGGATCTCTGGTAACTTATTTTTAAAAGAATCTCGAAGATCAATGGTGTCTTGTTTTTGAAAGAATTTCCAGATCGTTTGTACCTTATTTTTGAAAAAATTTGAAAGAATGTCGAGTATCACTTTTTGAAAGAATTTGGAGGACTTCAAGAGTGTTGTTTTGAAAAGAATTTGAAAGAATCTCGGACGCCTCTGTTGTTTTATTCTTGAAAAATTTGAAAGAATATATTGTCATATTTTTTAATGAATTTGAAAGAACCTCGAAGAATCTTGGTGTCTTATTTTTGAAAGAATCTCGGGAAATCCTGGTATCTTGTTTTTGAGAGAATTTGGGAGAATTTAGAAACCTTCGCATCTTTTTGTTTCAAAATTTGAAAGAATCTCGGAGACTCCTAGTGTCTTTTTTTTAAGAATTTGAAAAAACCTCAAGGACTTCTGGTATCTTGTTTTTGAAAGAATTTCCAGACCGTTTGTATTTTATTTTTGAAAAAATTTTAAAGAATGTCGAGTACCACTTTTTGAAAGAATTTGGAAGTCTTCAAGTGTGTTGTTTTGAAGAGAATTTGAAAAAATCTCGATTGCCTTTGATTTTTTATTTTGAAAAAATTTGGAAGAATCTCTAGTGCCACATTTTTTAATGAATTTGAAAAACCTCGAAGATCCTTGGTGTCTTGTTTTTAAAAAAGTCTTGTGGGATCCTTGTGGATTATTTTGAAAGGATCTCGGGAGCTCCTGGTATCTTGTTTTTTAGAGAATTTGGGAGAATATAGGGAACCCTTAATATATTTTTGTTTCAAAATTTGAAAGATTCTTGGGACTCCTTGTGTCTTTTTTTTTAAGAATTTGAAAAAACCTCAGGGGCCTCTGGTGACTTATTTTTGAAAAAAACTATAAAAATTCCGGGACCCCTTGCGTTTTATTTTTAAAAGAATTTGAAAGATCTTGAGGACTTCTGGTGTTTTAATTTTTTTAAAATTTTAAAAATAATGGGGTGTTTGTTGTTTGTGTGTATCTTATTATTTTAAAGAATTTGAAAGAATCTTAGGTATACCCCTGAAGTCTTGTTTTTGAAAAAATTTCAAGGAATCCAGAGAACTCTGCGTATCTTTTTTTTTTTATAAGACAATTTGAATAAATCTCGGAGGTATCTGGTTTGATTTTAGGAAAAATTTGGAACAATCTCGGGGATCTCTGGTATCTTAATATTTTTTAAAGAAACTCGAGAATCAATGGTTTTTGAGAATCAAAGAATTTCCAGACACTTTGTCTTTTATTTTGAAAAAATTTGAAAGAATGTCGGGTAACACTTTTCGAAGGAATTTGGAGGACTCCAAGTGTGTTGTTTTTAAAAGAGTCGGAAAGAATCTCTAGTGTCACATTTTTTAAATAAAGAACCTTGGCGTCTTGTTTTTAAGAGTCTTGTAGGATCCTTGTGTATAATTTGAAACAATCTCAGGAACTCCTAGCCTCTTGTTTTTGAAAGAATTTGGAAGAATCTCGGGAACCCTTTCTATTTTTTTTTCAAAATTTGAAAGAATCTCAAGGATTCTTTGCCGTATTTTTGAAAAAACTTGAAAGAACCTCGGGTACTCCTGGAGCTTTATTGTGAAAAGAATTTGAAGGAATCTCGGAAACTCCTTAGTTGTTCTTAGGACAATTTGAAAATGTCTCGGGGATTCTTGGTATCTTATTTTTTAAAGAATCTCGACTAACAATCATATTTTTGAAAGAATCTCCAGGACCCTTTGTATTTTATTTTTGAAAGTGTCTTGCACAAATTTTTGAAAGAATTTGAAGGACTCCAAGTGTCTTATTTTAAGAGAATTTGAAAGAAAGAGGCCTCTAGTTTTTTTAAGAATCTTGTGGAATCCTTCTGTATTATTTAGAAAGAATTTGAAAGAAAATCCGGAGCTTCTAGCATCTTGTTTTTGAGAGAATTTGGAAGAACCCTTTGTGTCTATTTTTTTTTTCAAAATTTTAAAGAATCTCAAGGATTCTTTGCCTTGTTTTTGAAAAAATTTGAAAGAAACTCGGGTACCCCTGGAGGCTTATTTTGGAAAGAATTTGAAGGAATCTCGGGAACTCCTACTGTCTCTTTTTTAATTATTTGAAAAAACCTCAGGGACCTCAGGTGCCTTATTTTGAAAGAATTTGTAAAAATCCGGGACTCTTTTTGATTTATTTTTCACAGAATTCGAAAAATCTTGAGGACTGCTGGTCTTTTAATTTTGTAAAAATTCGGTTTGTTTTTTTAAAAAATGTATTAAACAATCTCGGGAATCCCTGGTATCTTATTTTTTTTTAAATCTCGAGGATAAATGATGTTTTGTTTTTGAAAGAATTTCTAGACCGTTTGTATTTTATTTTTGAAAAAATTTGAAAGAATATTTTGGATCACTTTTTGAAAGAATTTGAAGGAATTTGGAGGACTCCAAGTGTCTTGTTTTAAGAGAATTTGAAAGAAGGGATCCTCTATTATTCTTGAAAAATTTGGAAGAATCTCTATTGTCATATTTTTTAGTGAATTTGAAAGAACCTCAAAGAACCCTCCTAGTGTCCTGTTTTTTAAAGAATCTTGTGGGACCCTTGTGTATTTATTAAGAAAGCATTTGAAAGAATCTCAGGAACTCCTAGCATCTTGTTTTTGAGAGAATTTGGAAGACTCTTAGGAACCCTGTGTGTATTTTTTTTTCAAAATTTGAAGCCTGATTTTGGAAAAAAATTGCAAGAATCTCGAGTACTCCCGGAGCCTTATTGTAGAAAGAATTTGAAAAAACCTCAGGGGCCTCAGGTGCCTTATTTTGAAAGAATTTGTGAAAATCCGGGACCCTTTTTGATTTATTTTTGACAGAATTCGAAAAATCTTGAGGACTTCTGGTCTTTTAATTTTGTAAAAATTCGGTTTGTTTTTCTAAAAAAAATATTAATCTCGGGGATCCCTGGTATCTTCGGTTTTTTTTTTAAATCTCGAGGATAAATGGTGTCTTGTTTTTGAAAGAACATTTTGGATCACTTTTTGAAAGAATTTGAAGGAATTTGGAGGACTCCAAGTGTCTTGTTTTAAGAGAATTTGAAAGAAGGGATCCTCTATTATTCTTGAAAAATTTGGAAGAATCTCTATTGTCATATTTTTTAGTGATTATGAAAGAACCTCGAAGAACCCTTCTAGTGTTCTTTTTTTTAAAGAATCTTGTGGGACCCTTGTGTATTTATTAAGGAAGCATTTGAGAGAATCTCAGGAACTCCTAGCATCTTGTTTTTGAGAGAATTTGGAAGAATCTTAGGAACCCTGTGTGTCTATTTTTTTCTTTTTCAAAATTTGAAAGAATCTCGAGGATTATTTGCCTTATTTTGGAAAAAATTAGCAAGAATCTACTGTCTTTTTTTAATAATTTGAAAAAACCTCAGGGGCGTCAGGTGCCTTATTTCGAAAGAATTTGTAAAAATCCGGGACCCATTTTGATTTATTTTTGACAGAATTCGAAAAATCTTGAGGACTTCTGGTCTTTTAATTTTGTAAAAATTCGGTTTGTTTTTCTAAAAAATTTATTAAACAACCTCGGGGATCCCTGGTATCTTAGGTTTTTTTTTAAATCTCGAGGATAAATGGTGTCTTGTTTTTGAAAGAATTTCCAGACCGTTTGTATTTTATTTTTGAAAAAATGGATCACTTTTTGAAAGAATTTGAAGGAATTTGGAGGACTCCAAGTGTCTTGTTTTAAGGGAATTTGAAAAATTTAGGAAAATCTCTACTGTCATATTTTTTAATGAAATTGAAAGAACCTCTAAGAAACCTGGTGTCTTGTTTTTTAAAGAATCTTGTGGAATCCTTGTCTAGTATTTAAAAACAATTTGAAAGAATCTCGGGAATCCTTTGTCAATTTTTTTTTTTTCAAAATTTGAAAGAATCTCAAGGATTCTTTGCCTTATTTTTGAAAAAAATTGAAAGAATCTCGGGTACTCCCGGAGCCTTATTTTGGAAAGAATTTGAAGGAATCTCGGAGACTCCGAGTGTCTTTTTTAAAGAATTTGAAAAAACTCAGGTGCCTCTGGTGTCTTATTTTTGAAAGAATTTGTATGAATCCTGGGATCCTTTGGTACCTTGTTCTTAGGACAATTTGAAAATGTCTCGGGGATTCTTGGTGTCTTATTTTTTTAAGAATCTCCAGGACTCTTTGTATATATATTATTTTTGAAAAAAAATTTTAATGAATGTCTTCTATCACTTTTTGATCGAATTTGAAGGAATTTGGAGAACTTCAAGTGTCTTGTTTTAAGAGAATTTGAAAGAAGGAGGCCTCTAGTGTTTTATTGTTGTTGAAGATTTTAGAAGAATTTCTGTTGTCATATTTTTTAAAGAATTTGAAAGAACCTCAAAGAACCTTGGTGTTTTGTTTTTAAAAGACTTGTGGGATCCTTGTGTATTATTTTGAAAGAATATCGGGAGTGCCTGGTATCTTGTTTTTGAGAGAATTTGGAAGAATCTAGAAAACCCTTTGTATCTTTTTTTTTCAAAATTTGAAAGAATCTCGAGTATTCCTGAAGCCTTATTTTGAAAAGAATTTGAAGGAATCCCGGGAATTCCTAGTGTCTTTTTTTAAGAATTTGAAAAAATCTCAGGGGCCTCTGGTGTGTTATTTTGGAAATAATTTATAAGAATCTCGGGACCTCTTGTCTTTTATTTTTAAAAGAATTTGAAAGATCTTAAGGACTTCTGGTGTTTTAATTAAAAAAAAAAAAAAAAATCACGAAGGTCCCTGGTGCTTGTGTGTATCTTATTATTTTAAAGAATTTAAAAGAATCTTAGGTACAGCTAAAGTCTTGTTTCTGAAAGAATGTCCAGCCCGTTCGTATTTCATTTTTGAAAAAATTTGAACCACTTTTCGAAAGAATTTGAAGGACTCGAAGTGTGTTTTGAAGAGAATTTGAAAGAATCTCGAAGGCGTTTGATGTCTTATTCTTGAAAAATTTGGAAGAATCTCTAGCGTCATATTTTTTAATGAATTTGTAAAAATCTCGAAGAATCTTGGTGTCTTGTTTTTTAAAGAATCTTGTGGGACCCTTGTGTATTATTTAGAAAGAATTTCAAAGAATCTCAGGAACTCCTAGCATCTTGTTTTTGAGAGAATTTGGAAGAATCTAGGAAACACTGTTTTTTTTTTCAAAATTTGAAAGAACGTCGAGGATTCTTTGCCTTATTAAAAAAAAAAAAAATTGAAAGAATCTCGGGTACTCCTGGAGTCTTATTTTTGGAAAGAATTTGAAGGAATCTCGGGTACTTCTACTGTCTTTTATTGTTTATTCAAGGGCCTCTGGTGTCTTATTTTTGAAAGAATTTGTAAGAATCCCGAGACCCCGTGTTTCACTTTTAAAAGAATTTGAAAGATCTTGAGGGTCTCTAGTGTTTTTATAAAAAAAATAACCTAAGTAAAAAATCACGAAGGTCCCTGTTGCTTGTGTGTATCTTATTATTTTAAAGAATTTGAAAGAATCTTAGGTACACCTGAAGTCTTGTTTTTGAAAGAATTTCCATACCGTTTGTATTTTATTTTTGAAAAAATTTGAAAGAATGTGGGGCACCACTTTTTGAAAGAATTTGGAGGACTCCAAGTGTGTTGTTTTGAAAAGAATTTGAAAGAATCGGGGAGGCCTTTGATGTTGTATTCTTGAAAAATTTGGAAAAATAGCTAGTGTCATATTTTTTAATGAATTTGAAAGGACTTTGAAGAATCTTCGTGTCTTGTTTTTAAAAGAGTCTTCTGGGAACCTTGTGTATTATTTTGAAAGAATCTCGGGAATTCCTGGTATCTTGTTTTTGAGAGAATTTGGAAGAATTTTAGGTACCACTGAAGTCTTGTTTTTGAAAGAATTTCCATACCATTTGTATTTTATTTTTGAAAAAATTTGTAAGAATGTCGGGTAAGTACCACTTTTTGAAAGAATTTGGAGGACTTCAAGAGTGTTGCTTTGAAGAGAATTTGAAAGAATCTCGAAGGCCTTTGATATTTTATTCTTGAAAAATTTGGAAGAATTGTCATATTTTTTAATGAATTTGAAAGAACCTTGAAGAACCCTGATGTCTTGTTTTTTAAAGAATCTTGTGGAACCCTTTGGCCTTTGGAAACAATTTGAAATAATCTCAGGAACTCCTAGCACCCTGTTTTTGAGAGAATTTGGAAGAATCTCAGGAACCCTTTGTGTCTATTTTTTTTTCAAAATTTGAAAGAATCGAGGATTCTTTGACGTATTTTAGAAAAAAAATTGAAAGAATCTCGGGTATTCCTGGAGCCTTATTTTGGAAAAAGTTTGAAGAAATCTAGGAGACTCCGAGTGTCTTTTTTTAAAGAATTTGAAAAACTATGGTGCCTCTGGTGTCTTATTTTTGAAATAATTTTTATGAATCCCGGGATCCCTTGGTATCTTGTTCTTAGGACAATTTGAAAATATCTCGAGGATTCTTGGTGTCTTATTTTTTAAAGAATCTCGACTATCAATGCTCTCTTGTTTTTGAAAGAATCTTGGTAAGATAAGACTGATTTTAGCAAATGACATCCTCTAAGAAAAGACAGGGTGGGTGGGTGGGGCTAATACTTGGTAAGATAAGACTGATTTTGGCAAATGACATATCTTCTGACAAAATAGAGGGCGGGTGGGTGGGGCTAGTACTTGGTAAGATAAAAATATCATGAATTTTTACTTGTGATTAATCAGTGCATTCAATTTTTGAATTTTTTTAAGCGTAGATTGGACCACTTGACGAACTAAAATAAAATTTTCATCCCAGAGCAAATAAAATAAGCCCAGGAAACAAAGCCGAAACTGATTTCTGGCGATCGAAGTCTACAAAAAAAATGTCTCCAACTAATTTTCGGAAATATGTAGTTGAAAAATGGTTGAAAATGTCAAAAGTGGCAAAATCAGTCTTATTTTATCAAATACTAGCCCCGCCCACCCACCCTCTGTTTTCTTAGAGGGCATGTCATTTGCCAAAATCAATCTTATCTTATCAAATACTAACCCCGCCCACCCACCCTCTATTTTTTAGGAGATATGTCATGTGCCAAAATAAAACTTATCTTAGCAAGAACTAGTAAGTACTACCCTCTGGGAGAATAAAGGGCGGGTGGGCGGAGCTAGTACCTGTTAAGATAAGACTGATTTTGGCAATTGACATATCCTCTGACAAAATAGAGGGCGGGTGGGCGGGGCTAGTACTTGGTAAGATAAGACTGATTTTAGCAAATGACATCCTCTAAGAAAAGACAGGGTGGGTGGGTGGGGCTAGTACTTGGTAAGATAAGACTGATTTTGGCAAATGACATATCTTCTGACAAAATAGAGGGCGGGTGGGTGGGGCTAGTACTTGGTAAGATAAAAATACCATGAGTTTTTACTTGTGATTTATCACTGCATTCAATTTTTGAATTTTTTTAAGCGTAGATTGGACCACTTGACGAACTAAAATAAAATTTTCATCCCAAAGCAAATATTTGGAAAAATCTCGGGGATTTTTTGCCTTATTTTTGAAAAAATTTGAAAGAATCTCGGGTACTCCTGCAGCCTTATTGTGAAAAGAATTTGAAGGAATCTCGGAAACTCCGATTGTCTTTTTTTTTAAGAATTTGAAAAAACTCAGGTGCCTCTGGTGTCTTATTTTTGAAAGGATTTGTATGAATCCTGGGACACTTTGGGACCTACCTTGTTCTTAGGACAATTGGAAAATGTCTCGGGGATTCTTGGTATCTTATTTTTTATAAGGAATCTTGACTAACAATGGTCTCTTGTTTTTGAAAGAATCTCCATAACCCTTTGTATTATATTTTTGAAAAAATTTGAAAGAATGTCCTGGATCACTTTTTGAAATAATTTGAAGAAATTTGGAGGACTCCAAGTGTCTTATTTTAAGAGAATTTGAAAGAAGGGGGCCTCTAGTGTTTTATTCTTGAAAAATTTGGAAGAATCTCTGTTATCATATTTTTTAATGAATTTGAAAGAACCTCGAAGAACCTGGGTGTCTTGTTTTTTAAAGAATCTTGTGGAATCCTTGTGTATTATTTAGAAATAATATGAAAGAATCTCAGGAACTCCTAGTATTTTGTTTTTGAGAGAATTTGTAAGACCCTTTGTGTCTATTTTTTTTTTTTTTTCAAAATTTGAAAGAATCTCTAGGATGCTTTGCCTTATTTTTGAAAAAAATTGAAAGAACCTCGGGTACTCCTGGTTCTCGCAAAATTTGTCGAAAACAAACGTTTTCTATTTAATCAAAAAGTACTCAGTACTTTTTGATACTTTTTTTTCAAAAGTACTGAGTACTTTTTGATTAAGAAAGTACTCAGTACTTTTTGATTGACAAGTTAGTGAAAAAGTCGGTGCAATCTGATACAGGCAATGAATACAAAATCACAGATATGAGATTTATTAAGATATGGTTGATTATAAGTATAAAGAAAAAATTAAATTACGCACAAGGACAAAATTGCCTTGAAGTCATGTTAATAAGATCATTAAAAATTAAAGTTGTACACCTGTATTGGTATGTCACGTGAGGTTCCTACACATTTTATCACGAATTAGTTGTTCTTTGATTGTTGTTCGTATTTGGACCCATCAAACCAGCTGAAAAGTAGTTCTTATCGTTTTAAATAAAGAATTATGTAAATAAGTACCTTCTTCGACAACCTCAGGGGGTATACCTAAGTAACTGTCGCCCTTGGCAATGAAATAGTAACCTAGAAAGATTTTTCTTATGGCTCACACATATATCCTTTTATTTTTTTATTTACCTCCACTTATCATCTGCAGTGTCTGCCGCTTCACTCTTTCATACAAAATCAATAGCACCAACATACACAACAAAAATATAGATGAAATCGGAAGAAGCACTATAATATACAGTTCCATTTTGGGAATTTAAACGAACGCTTTACAAAAACTCCATTTTTATTGCGTCAAACAGTATCAGTACACTTAGAATTAGTTCTATCTAATTACCCTTATCTTTTATCTCTAATGATAAAAAATTAACAGCGATGAAGCGATTAAGAGAATGAGTCAAAATTTTATAGCTGACTCGCTATGTTACTGTTAGCGGTATCCAGGTGCGCCGTTAGCCCCACTAAAACCAAAAATTAGAAAAAATATAATTGGTCACTGAAGTCGTACTTAGCTCAGCCGTTTCTGGAGACACACCCAGAAAGCTTCCACGGTTCCAAATGAAGTAAAAACCTGTCGGATTAGTGTGAACATTTCAACAAACAGAGTTTCAATACGTACCATCTTTTATCATTTTTTTGTATTTTCTTTTCGCTTTTATGTACGCCCACAGTATGACCACCATAACTATGAAATATATCCCCGAAATGGGTAACATAATGGTTAAATACGTGTTCATTGTGGATTAGGAAGTCGGTGTTAATAACACAACAAAAACTAAAGCGACTCGGAATTGATAAAGTGGTTTTTATCTTCGATGGGAGAATCGTAGCGATAGATAGTAATTTAGAGCAATTATATTGAGTTTTTATTTGTTTTGTTTAAGTATTGACACACATTGTAACTTATTTTTGTTTTATTTATTTTTTGGAGTAACAATAATATTTCATAGGAGTTTCTGCTTATTTGGCCAGTTCGTCTGCTCGCTTAGCCGCCGCCTCCACGGCACTCATCACATGCCCCCTTCAACACACAATTAACCCTTCAAAACAACCCAATTCTAAGTACTAACCTCACAGCACCCCGTTCCAGAGCGTGTATTCCAGCAATGGTCATCCCCCCAGCCGAACACACCTCGTCTTTTAAAATCCCCATGTGTTTATCAGTCTCTAGGACCATTTTCGCCGCCCCCAGAACAGTCTGAGCGGCAAACTTAGTCGCCATTTCTCTGTGAAGACCCATGCGGACGCCACCATCTGATAGCGCCTCTATAAACAAGTAGACCTGAAATTGTACGTTGTGTAGGGTGGATAAGCCGTCCAGAAACATACAAACGCAGGCCCGCTACTCGAAATCGCCGCTAGAGCGTTGATCATTTTTTCCGGCAGCTGTTCACAAAGTCCTGTCACTTCTAACAGTGACTGGATGAGAGAAAGATCGTCTTGGGTTACATTGTGGCCGGGACAGTATATAGTGCAACCTTCGCCCACGACCATGGGTGTGTTGGGCATAACTCGGACCACCCTCGACCCAGAAAAGTGCTGGATTTTCTAGGTAGTAACATTTCCCGTGAATTGCAGTTGCAGTATTGGTGGATTTTTAAATATTACCTCTTCCAGTTCGTTCAGTTTAATTCCCGCCAAAATCGACAGGAAGAGTTTATTCTTAATGGGGCGGTTTTTCGAGTCTTGGATAATCTTATCCAGGATTTCGTTCAGTAGGTGGGGTTTTACGGCCAAAAAGATTATGTCGGCTTTTTCGGCTACTTCTGAGTTGTTGGTGGTGATGTTGGCACCGGCGTCTTTCCACACTGTCAAATTTTGGATGTAGGGGCTTGACACAAAAACCTGGGAGTAGTCGATGAGGCCTTTTTGTTGGATGCTTCTGCAGAGGGCTTTCGACATGTTGCCGTCCCCAATAAAGCCCAGTTTCTTTTTTATTTTGATGGGTGGGATGGTGCATAAGGTTCGGACGTTTTGGCTGCAAAAAAACGTCCTTAAGCGAATGTATTTTGTTTTTTCGAATTGGCTTTTTTAATTTTTCGATTTCTTAGTTTTCCAATTTTGTGATTTCCCGATTTTTAAATTTTACATTTTCGAATTTTTTATTGTTTGATTTTTTGATTTTGCGATGTTTTAATTGTTCAATGTTTTAAATGCTAGATTTTCAATTTCTCGATTTTTGATTTTTCATTTCTTCAGTATTTCTATTTTTCAATTTTTTCAAATTTTTACGTTGCTGAATTGTCAATTTTCCGATTTCTCAATAATTAGTCTATTTTTGATTTTCCCATTTGTCAACTTCTCAAACTTTCGATTTTTTAGTTCTTTAATTCTTTTTTCGACTTCGCTTTTTTGGTTTTTCGATTTCTCAATTTTCCAATTTTTGGATATTTCTTTCAGTTTTGGGATTATTCAATATTTCGATTCTTCGACTTTCCGATTTTTCGAGTTCTGGATTTTCCGATTTTTATTTTCTGGATTTTCGGTTTTTCGTTTTTTAAACTTTAAATTTTTCGATTGTTTTATTTTTCGATTTCTCAATTTTTCAACTTTTCGATACATATTTTAATTTTTCAATTTTTAATTTTCAATTTTTTGGATTTCTTTCAGTTTTGCGATTTTTGAATATTTCGATTTTTAGACTCCTGGATTTTTTGATTTTTCTATTTTTTACTTTTTCGTTAAATTGTAGCTTTTTCAATTTTTCGACTGTTTTATACTTCGATTCCTCAATTTTTCAACTCTTCGATGTTTTAATTTTCAATTTTTAAAATTCTAGATTTTTCGATTTCTCGAGTTTTTTGTTCTTCTATATGCATTTAAATTTTTCAATTTTCCGTATTCTTAAATTTTCGATTTTCCAATTTTTCAATTTTGTGATTTCTCGATTTTTCAATTTTGCGATATTTTAATTGTTCAATGTTTTAAGTACTCGATTTTCGTTTTCTCGATTTTTTATTTTTCAGTTCTTCAGTATTTCTATTTTTCAAATTTTCAAATTTTGACGTTTCTGAATTGTCAATTTTCCGATTTCTCCATAATTAATCTATTTTTGATTTTCCCAGTTGTTTAATTCTTTTTTCGACTTCGCTTTTTTGGTTTTTCGATTTCTCAATATTTCCAATTTTTGGATATTTCTTTCAGTTTTAGGATTATTCAATATTTCCATTCTTCGACTTTTCGAGTTCTGGATTTTTCGATTTTTTTTTATTTTTTGGATTTTCAGTTTATCGTTTTTTAAACTTTAAATTTTTCGATTGTTTCGATTTGTCAATTTTTCAACTTTTCGATACATATTTTAATTTTTCAATTTTTAAAATTCTAGATTTTTCGATTTCAAGAGTTTTCAGTTCTTCTATATTTCAATTTTTCAATTTTCCGAATTATTAAATTTTCTATATTCCAATTTTTCTTTTTTAAAATTTTTCAATTTTTCAATTTTGTGATTTCTCGATTTTTAAATTTTAGATTTTCGAATTTTCATTGTTTGATTTTTTGATGTGTAGATTTCTCGATTTTTCAGTTTTGCGATGTTTTAATTGTTCAATGTTTTAAATGTTAGGTTTTCGATTTCTCAATTTTTTTATTTTTCAGTTCTTCAGTATTTCTATTTTTCAATTTTTCAAATTTTGACGTTGCTGAATTGTCAATTTTCGGATTTCTCAATAATTAATCTATTTTTGATTTTCCCAGTTCTTTAATTGTTTTTTCGACTTCGCTTTTTTGGTTTTTCGATTTCTCGATATTTCCAATTTTTGGATATTTCTTTCAGTTTTAGCATTATTCAATATTTCCATTCTTCGACTTTTCGAGTTCTGGATTTTTCGATTTTTTATTTTTTGGATTTTCAGTTTTTCGTTTTTTAAACTTTAAATTTTTCGATTGTTTCGATGTGTCAATTTTTCAACTTTTCGACACATATTTTAATTTTTCAATTTTTAAAATTCTAGATTTTTCGATTTCAAGAGTTTTCAGTTCTTCTATATTTCAATTTTTAAATTTTCGATATTCCAATTTTTCTTTTTTAAAATTTTTCAATTTTTCAATTTTGTGATTTCCCGATTTTTAGATTTTAAATTTTCGAATTTTTATTGTTTGATTTTTTGACGTTTGGATTTCTCGATTTTTCAATTTTGCGGTGTTTTAAATGTAAGGTTTTCGACTTTTCGATTTTTTTATTTTTTAGTTCTTCAGTATTTCTATTTTTCAATTTTCCAAATTTTGACGTTGCTGAATTGTCAGTTTTCCGATTTCTCAATAATTAATCTATTTTTGATTTTTCCAGTTCTTTAATTCTTTTTTCGACTTCGCTTTTTTGGTTTTTCGATTTCTCAATATTTCCAATTTTTGGATATTTCTTTCAGTTTTAGCATTATTCAATATTTCCATTCTTCGACTTTTCGAGTTCTGGATTTTTCGATTTTTTATTTTTTGGATTTTCAGTTTTTCGTTTTTTAAACTTTAAATTTTTCGATTGTTTCGATGTGTCAATTTTTCAACTTTTCGATACATGTTTTAATTTTTCAATTTTTAAAATTCTAGATTTTTCGATTTCAAGAGTTTTCAGTTTTTCTATATTTCAATTTTTCAATTTTCCGAATTTTTAAATTTTCGATATTCCAATTTTTCTTTTTTAAAATTTTTCAATTTTTCAATTTTGTGATTTCTCGATTTTTAAATTTTAGATTTTCGAATTTTTATTGTTTGATTTTTTGACGTTTGGATTTCTCAATTTTTAATTTCGCGATATTTTAATTGTTCAATGTTTTAAATGCTAGATTTTCGATTTCTCGATTTCTTGATTTTTCAGTTCTTCAGTATTTCTATTTTTCAAATTTTCAATTTTTGACGTTGCTGAATTGTCAATTTTCCGATTTCTCAATAATTAATCAATTTTTGATTTTCCCATTTGTCGACTTCTCAAATTTTCGATTTCTCAGTTCATTAATTCCTTTTTTGACTTCGCTTTTTTGGTTTTTCGATTTCTCAATATTTTCAATTTTTGGATATTTCTTTCAGTTTTAGCATTATTCAATATTTCCATTCTTCGACTTTTCGAGTTCTGGATTTTTCGATTTTTTATTTTTTGGATTTTCAGTTTTTCGTTTTTTAAACTTTAAATTTTTCGATTGTTTGGATTTGTCAATTTTTCAACTTTTCGATACATATTTTAATTTTTCAATTTTTAAAATTCTAGATTTTTCGATTTCAAGAGTTTTCAGTTCTTCTATATTTCAGTTTTTCAATTTTCCGAATTTTTAAATTTTCGATATTCCAATTTTTCTTTTTAAAAATTTTTCAATTTTGTGATTTCTCGGATTTTTAAATTTTAGATTTTCGAATTTTTATTGTTTGTTTTTTTTGACGTTTGGATTTCTCGATTTTTCAATTTCGCGATATTTTAATTGTTCAGTGTTTTAAATGCTAGATTTTCGATTTCTTAATTTTTGATTTTTCAGTTCTTCAGTATTTCTATTTTTCAATTTTTCAAATTTTGACGTTTCTGAATTGTCAATTTTCCGATTTCTCAATAATTAATCAATTTTTGATTTTCCCATTTGTCGACTTCTCAAATTTTCGATTTCTCAGTTCATTAATTCTTTTTTTGACTTCCCTTTATTGGTTTTTCGATTTCTCAATATTTCCAATTTTTGGATATTTCTTTCAGTTTTAGCATTATTCAATATTTCCATTCTTCGACTTTTCGAGTTCTGGATTTTTCGATTTTTTTATTTTTTGGATTTTCAGTTTCTCGTTTTTTAAACTTTAAATTTTTCGATTGTTTCGATTTGTCAATTTTTCAACTTTTCGATACATATTTTAATTTTTCAATTTTCCGAATTTTTAAATCTTCGATATTCCAATTTTTCTTTTTTAAAATTTTTCAATTTTTGAATTTTGTGATTTCTCGATTTTTAAATTTTAGATTTTCGAATTTTTATTGTTTGATTTTTTGACGTTTGGATTTCTCGATTTTTCAATTTCGCGATATTTTAATTGTTCAATGTTTTACATGCTAGATTTTCGATTTCTCGATTTTTTGATTTTTCAGTTCTTCAGTATTTCTATTTTTCAAATTTTCAAATTTTGACGTTGCTGCATTGTCAATTTTCCGATTTCTCAATACTTAGTCTATTTTTGATTTTCCCGTTTGTAAACTTCTCAAACTTTCGATTTTTTGTTCTTTAATTCTTTTTTCGACTTCGCTTTTTTGGTTTTTCGATTTCTCAATATTTCCAATTTTTGGATATTTCTTTCAGTTTTAGCATTATTCAATATTTCCATTCTTCGACTTTTCGAGTTCTGGATTTTTCGATTTTTTTATTTTTTGGATTTTCAGTTTCTCGTTTTTTAAACTTTAAATTTTTCGATTGTTTCGATTTGTCAATTTTTCAACTTTTCGATACATATTTTAATTTTTCAATTTTCCGAATTTTTAAATCTTCGATATTCCAATTTTTCTTTTTTAAAATTTTTCAATTTTTGAATTTTGTGATTTCTCGATTTTTAAATTTTAGATTTTCGAATTTTTATTGTTTGATTTTTTGACGTTTGGATTTCTCGATTTTTCAATTTCGCGATATTTTAATTGTTCAATGTCTTACATGCTAGATTTTCGATTTCTCGATTTTTTGATTTTTCAGTTCTTCAGTATTTCTATTTTTCAAATTTTCAAATTTTGACGTTGCTGCATTGTCAATTTTCCGATTTCTCAATACTTAGTCTATTTTTGATTTTCCCGTTTGTAAACTTCTCAAACTTTCGATTTTTTGTTCTTTAATTCTTTTTTCGACTTCGCTTTTTTGGTTTTTCGATTTCTCAATATTTCCAATTTTTGGATATTTCTTTCAGTTTTAGCATTATTCAATATTTCCATTCTTCGACTTTTCGAGTTCTGGATTTTTCGATTTTTTATTTTTTGGATTTTCAGTTTTTCGTTTTTTAAACTTTAAATTTTTCGATTGTTTCGATTTGTCA